AGATGATTTTGTCAAACTTGTCATGGCTTGTGTGACTTCTGCCCGCTTTCAGGTGTTGCGGAATGGCGGTTGCACGAAATCCTTTCAATCGATGAGGGTACTTCGACAGGAATGTCCTCTTTCCCCATATGCATTTATGTTATGCATTGAGAGATTTAACCATTGCATTAAGGATTCTATAGACAGGAAAGCTTGGAAACCGATTACTTTGTCTAAAGATGCAACACCTCTCACCCACTTATTTTTTTACAGATGACCTAGTACTCTTTGCAGAGGCGGATCAGAAGCAAGGGGAAGAAATTGTAGCTTGCCTGGATTGTTTCTGTGGGACATCCGGGGAACGGGTCAACAAGGACAAGTCTTGTGTCTTTTTCTCCAAGAACACCAGGTACCAAGTAAAGACTAGGATCAGTGACACGTTGGGAATACAACGTACCAACAAGCTTGGTCGGTACTTGGGTGTCCCGGTGCTTCACGGTAGAGCTACTAAGGACACATACAAGTACATCTTGGAGAAGATTGATAAACGCCAGTCGGGATGGAAAGATAGAAGTCTCTCCTTGGCTGGACATGTTACGTTGGCTGTCTCAGTCCTGAACGCGCCCCCCAACTACATAATGCAGACGACGGTTCTTCCTATATCTGTGTGTGATACCATTGATAGAAAAGTCCGGGCTTTCGTCTGGGAAGCAGAGGAAAAACGGGGCACGACTCACTTTTTCAAGTGGGAAACCATCTGCAAACGAAGGAAGAAGGAGATGATCTCAGGCTACGATAAGCTAGAGCGCTTAATCTTGCATACCTAATGAAGCTAGGCTGTGTTTTCTTGAATAAATCAGATGACTTGTGGATTCGGGAGATGCAAGGAAAATATTTCAAACTAAATGCTGCTGGGGACATGCTCATGAAGAAGAGCAATTTCTCGAGACTTTGGAAAGGAATTTGGAGACCTAGCCAATTCTTAAAGAACGAGTTGTGTGGGATATCCGGGCGGGTCACAATGCCCTTTTTTGGACTGACCCATGGTTGGTTGAGGGCCTTACCTTGCGGGATCATACTAATAATGGATAGGATGGTATCAACTGGCACGCAACAGTGGCAGACATGACCACCAACGAAGGTGAGTGGAACTGGGAGAAAATCGAACCTTACTTGACACAACGCTTAATTTCTCTGGTTGCATGTATGGATTCTCCGATTGCCGACTCCAATGAAGACATCACGACATGGGGAATGGAGTCTGATGGAAAATTCAAGCTTCGTTCTGCATACTCTGCGGTTGTCGACTGGATTGGTGATACCGCGCTCAGTGCGGAGGATGAAACTTCTCAACCCCACTGGAAACAACTGTGGAAATGGACGGGACAGAACCGCATCAAACATTTCCTCTGGCTGGTTATCCATGACAGGCTGATGACAAACGCAGAACGGAAACGGAGGAAGCTGACGAACGACGATACCAGCGCCTTGTCCAAAAGCGGGCCAGAAACAACCGAGCACATCTTGCTGCTCTGTCCTAGCTCATAACAGCTATGGCATAGGTTGGGAATAAATGACACTCTGCTAACCTGCGTCCTTGGTTTTACAGCCTGGCTAGAGTCACATCTTGGAAACGAACAGGAGGGACTCCTCTTCGGAGTGGCGGCTTGGCATCTCTGGAAACGACGCAACGAGAAGACCTTCCACAACCTTTCTCAAGAGGATCACGTTCTGGCGCATCGGATCGGGTGCTGGACAAATACCATACGAAATGCTCACCTGAATGACAAGGCTTCACAGGAGAAGCCCCGCACGAAGACAACCCAACAGCTTGCGTGGAACCCGCCCCCTGTGGAATGGATGAGCATCCACACTGACTGCTCGGTCAAGCAACCACTTGCAGCGGCGGGAGGGTTGACTCTGGACTGGACAGGACGTTGTGTTGAAGCCTTTGTGGAAAATCTGGGCGTGTGCACTATCACTAGAGCCGAAATCACTGCGGCAATTCGTGGATTGCAGGTGGCGTGGAGGAAAGGATTTCGCAAGGTCCAACTCAATTTTGACTCCCACCGCTATCAATATCCTCACTTCCTCTTATCAGACGGAACAAGGCTGCGAATTTTTTTGCCAATATGGGTCACCTTGTAAGCATCAGGGGTCTTCTTCATAAAAACTGGGAAGTCAGAATTTCTCACACTTATAGAGAATGCAACAAGGTTGCGGATTTCTTTGCCAATAGGGGCCACCTTGTAAGCATAGGTTTCCATGACTTCAAGGTTAATGATCCGGGCTTAGCTTTCTGGATTCTGTACGACACCATGGGCATTGTCCAAACTCATTTAATTTAAGTAGCAGGCAGGGACGCCCTTCTTTTTACCTAAAATAAAATATATAAAAAAAAAACTTGTTTCAGCAACTAAAGCTAGGATATGTGTGTTTATTAATCTATTGTGTTTACGTGGATTGAATTGGTGGATCCATGGATCAAATGGATTGGATCTAATGGATTGGTGGATTCATGGATTTGATCAAATGAATTGGTGGATTGATCCATGAATCCAAATGACATCCAAGGCTTGGACCAAAATATAAAATTTGAAAAGTTTAGGTACTAAAATGTCATAATGAAAAATTGTAGGTACCAAAATGTAATTTTTCAATGATTTTTTCGTATAAAATATAAATTTTAGATACCAAAATGTAAAATATAAAAAATATAAATACCAAATCGTAATTTGTCATTTGGATCCATGGATTGATCCATGAATCCACCAATTCAATTGGATTTGGATCAAATAGATTGGATTTAAATGGATTGGATTAAGTGGATAATTTGATGGATGGATTGGATTGGATTCGTGGATTTGGATCCTAATTGCCACCTCTAATTGTGTTTAATGCATATTCGCAGACCGGCAAAATTCTTTCCTGACCGGCAAAATTCTTTCATGACAGAAAAAAACACAGTTAACTCACTGCACCGGTATGGTGTTAGTTACGTGAAAAATTGAAACTACATTTTAATAACGGGATTGGACTTTGCTTATATGCACCAATTTTGGCCGAACAGAATTGTTTTTTATTTTTTATTTTTATCTGGCCGAACAGAATTCGTGTAAGACCAAAACTAAATCTTTTAACTTCTGAGAGAACAAGGTTCAAGGTAACACTAGATTTGTGCCAGCCCGTTGGTCGGATGAATTTCAATAATAAGATAAATGATCATAGAAATTGTTTAAAGTACGACATGTTTTATTTCGTACCATATAAGATTCCAAAACATTTTATTACTGAAAATATCATATTTGTATAATTTTCAACTAAAGTCCTTGCCGAAAGTAAAAAAATAGAAGTCATGCAAGAAAATAAATTCCAAAAAATTTAGTAAGACCACAATATTTGCTCTTTTATGTAAATATTTATTGCAAACTTAATTTTGAATTTCTTGTAATTGCTCAACCTTCGCCCTCTAAAGCACTAACATCTCCGCAAATTACAATTCATTTGTCTTTTTTATCGAAAATTTTTATTTTCAAAATAGGTCGTTCAATCTCTTTATATTTTATTTCTCATTGGAAGCCAATATTTAATAGCAAAATGTTTGAAAACACTAAACATTACATGTAGTAGAACTTACGTCTCATAAATATTTTATAAGAATCATTCTTTACCATAACGGTGATAAACAACCGAGAGACCAACACCAAAATTAATAATTTATTGATGAAAACTTAATGAATAACCTCTAGGTGTTGACCATTCTCTAGTAGAATTTTTCTTTTTGCCTTATATCTTTGCAGATTTTATTGCTCAAATTGTAAATCATGAAGAAGTATCCTATGATCATTCTAAGCTAACTTTAGAAAGATTGGGAGTTTAGTCAAAGTTCAGTCAGCGAGGTGAGACTTACATTCATGAAAATCTAACAGAAAATTGATGTTGGGGATATAATTAGGAACTGCAGCACAGATCGGGTACAATTATAGAAGAATTGATAGTTGACGAATGATGTTATGAATGATGCTATAGGATGCTAGAATAACATGTTTTCTTATTCCAAAATTTAACTAAATGAACATAGTTTTATTTAGTATAACTAAACTTGAATTTTTAGTTAGAATTTTATAATTTGAATTAGAACAAATAAAATATGATTAATTAAAAACTAATAAGGGAGTGGATATGCACCTTGAATTATACACCTGTTAATAAACTAACAATATGCTAAATTACCTATGGATACAGTAAAACGCAATTGCTAATAATATTTTTAATAAATATATATAGGAATTTTACAATGTTTCATATCATTATGTCTATATATTTTCGTACAAATTTCTTTATTGTATGGTCTAAATTTAGTTTGTACCTATTTCTTTCCATACAAATTCATTTACTATACAATATAAAACCACACTTTTTAAGTATGGTACAATTTGAACATACACATTGTGGATTCAAATTTGTATATGCAAACACCAAGACTTTGAGGTATAATAAATAAGCTGATACATAACATAACATGTTAATTAAAAAGCATGTCTTTTTTTTTTAGTTGGAGTCCGGAATTTTTCAATTCATAAACGGTGTGTTTTAAGCCCAGAAAATGAAAAATGTCATTTTTTTTAGTTGGAGTCCGGAATTTTCCAATAAATAGGCTAACTACTAAGTGTTTTATGCCCATAAAATGACCAAATAATCCCCTTACTATGCGGAGAAGCCACAAATAAATCAATAAGCGGAACCTCTATATATTGTTTGGAATTGGAGGAGGATGCACATAATAATAATAATAATAATAATAATAATAATAATAATAATAATTATTATTATTATTATTATTATTATTATTATTATTATTATTATTATGCCTCTCAATCATTTTGAGCCGGCACCTAAAACAGTTCAGAAGAGGAGTTGACAGTAGCCGAATCATTTTGAATGATGCCTTAGTGGAATGAGAAACGCCCAGGCCGCCGCTACAGTATATAATCCCCCACGCCACTCAACATATTCCCATTCCACTCCAAAAACAAGAGAGAGGTAATTAGAAGAAAAAAGGAAGCAATTAATTAACAACATGAAGAAGATGGCAATCAGTACTAGCATTGTTTTTCTGGTCGCAGTTATCCTGCTGGCCAGTACTACTACGACTCGCCCAGCCGAAGCCAGGAAGAAAGTGAAGGTGCCGGTGCTGTGCAACAAACACAACTTCAACAGCACCGACGAGCCTCAGGCCACGGCGGCGAGGGACGAGATTCTGGGCCGCTTGGTAGGGGTGACCAGCTCGCAGCCGAAGAAGAAGCGGTTCTGCACCTCCACCGACGTCGACGGCAGTGGGTACACCATCACCGGCCTGGCCACCTGCGCCGCGCGGTTCGAGGAGTGCTCCACGTGTCTCAACAGGGCCAAGGAACTTCTGAACCAGAAGTGCAGGAGCGGAAGCGGGGGCCAGATCAATTTGGTTGATCAGAATCCCAAATGTTCCGTCAGATATGAGAAGGAAGACAAATTCTGCTAAAGCTTACAGCTACTTTATCGGGGAAAAAAGTATGTTGTGGTTTGTTGTGTTGTGTTGTACCGTTAGTGACACTACTTTATTGACAAAAAAAACTGGTGTGCTGTGCAGAAGTATTTGCCAGTGTCTGTTAGGCGTTGGCACGGGTTCTTGGACGAATGAAGCAGCACATATCATATCATGGCTCATGCTTAGAAAAGGTAAAAACTGAAATGAGGAAGTGGTTTGGACTGACCGACCACCAGTTTTCCTTGTACATCAGTTACTTCATGATAATGTATTAAGCTCCAGTAGCTAATAAAATTCCTCCAAGGTTTGCATAAAAAAGGATCGATCGAGCTTGTTTCTTTTCTTCTTAAGAATGTATACGTCTATTGATCCACACAAAAATTATCATATGGAGATTGATATTTGTTGTGGTTTCATTTAGTGATGCTTATCAAGGACCACGAAACCGGATCGTACCGGCCGGTTCAACTGATTATACCGGAAGCCAGACCTAGAGCGATAAGGTAGGCTAGCTGGCGTTAAAATATCGTGTCGGCCGGTTTTGCCGGCTAACCTGGTACGAACGAAAATACCATCCGGTTTTGGTTTAACCGGAGGTAGGCATACTGCAAGGAAACGTCACCGTTTTGGAATTTAAAAAAAAAACCAAATTGGCCGAGAGGCCAAAAACGAAACCCTAATCTGGGTCTGGCCGTCTGGGAGAGTGGGAGCCCTTTCCTTCCTCTATTCGTTTCTTTCTTCCCCCAACCACGCCCAGTCTCGCCTGCCGCTCCTCCTCTTCTCCTTTGGCCGTCTGGAGACTGCCATTGGCAACCCGTGACCGGCGAAAACAAGGAGGAAGGAAACCAGAGACCGCCACTCGTCCTCGTCCTCTCTTCTACTCAGCCGCTCATCTGCTTCCGCAATCTGCGATTGGCGACCGACGATTGGCCTGCTGAAGAACGCGCCGGCCTGCTTAAGAATCTCCCTCCTCTGCTGCTCCCTCTTCTGCTCCCTCCTCTGGTTCTCAAAAAGACGAGAACGCGCCGACCTACTCAAGAACGCGAGTTCAAGCCTCAAGGTAATTAACAAAAAAAAGTATTTTTTAATTATAAAAATGGTATTTTACCTGTACACAACGGTTGAACCATGGCCGTACCACAAAATACCATACCACAGACGGGTCCGCTATGACTTCCGGTACGGTTTCCTTTACCATGCTTGGTAGCCTAAAAAATATCACTTCTAAGGTTTTATTTAATTGACTTCAGCCTTTCATGGACAACATCATATCCAGACAACAATTTAGGGGGAAAAGAGGTAGAGTGATCCATGAGTCCAACTTCCTTGCCAATGAACTAATTGACATTCATAAAAGGAGCAGGAGAACTAGGCTAGTCATAAAACTAGACATTGAAAAGGCTTTAGACATTATAAACTGGAACTGCATTCTGGAGATACTTGGGAGACTAAGGCTACATCAAAGGTTTCAAAAATGGATAAAAGGCTCCCTCTCCTCGTCCAAGCTATCTGTACTCATCAATGGTGAAGCTGTGGGTTTCTTTGGGATGGAAAGAGGTGTCAAGGTGATTCGTTGTCTCCTTTTATTTTCAACCTAGAAATGGATATGTTGACGCATATATTGAGCAAATTCAGTGAGGCAGGCTTCCTGCATGGCTTTTGTGTCGATGATGTTAGGCATCGCGGTGAAGTGACGCATCTCCTTTATGCCGATGATGCGGTCATTTTCTGCGAAGCCAATGAACAGAAGGTGGTGAATGTATTAATTACCCTGGCATGTTTCCAGTGCATTACAGGACTCAAAATCAACATGAGTAAAACCCGGATTTTTCCTGTTGGTGAAGTGCAAAATATTAATATGATGGCGGAAGTCTTTGGATGTGAGCGGGATTTCTTGCCGACTTTCTATCTTGGACTTCCCTTGGGAGCTCATCTGACCTCGCCTCAATTTTAGAACCGAGTCATTAACAAGACCCAATCAAGACTGGAGAGCTGGAAAGGGAGTTTCCTCTCTATTGGAGGAAGGATCGTCATGATTGATGTTGTTCTAGCAAGCCAAAACGCCTACATGAGCTCCATTTTCCTTGCCCCAAAAGGGAATCATCCATACACTAGAAAAGATGTAGATAAATTTTCTCTGGTCCGGAACACAAGAGAAAGAAAAGTTTCATTTGGTTTCTTGGGAGTTGTGCAAAAGAGAAAAACGCCTCGGCAGTCTAGGTTTTCATGATCTGGAGCTTAATAACCGAGCATTGTTATATAAATGGTGGTGGCGGTTTGGGAATGAAAGGTAGAGTTGGTGGAGGGAGCTTCTAGCTCTCAAATTGCCAAATAATAACTCATAGTGGATGGCTGGGGAAAGTTTGGGAAGTGTGGGTTGTAGCCCTTGGATGCAAATTCTTAAACTAAAAGATGGATTTTGGAATATGGCACAGGTCGAACAAGGATGTGGGAGTTGGACCTGATTTGGTTTGATGTTTGGAATAAAGGTGTCCGCCAAGCAGATGAGTTTCCGAGAAAATTGGCCGCTGCAGAATTCCCAAGCTCTCGTGTAGCTGATTACTTAGACAATCGAAGGTGAAAATCTTTTGTGGGAAATTCCTTTAACCGGAAACCTGCGGATCCTGGCTAGTGGTGTTCAAGGGTACTACTCCATTCCTTGTGTTGGATTGTGTGGCTTGAAAGCATAGGTGTTCATGCTAGTGGCATGTCGGTCGGTTGAACCAGGTTCAACCGGTACCGATCATGAAACCGGCTGGAATGTCACCGGTAAGATAGACAAGTCAATCCCGGTCAAGACCGGTCAATTCCGGTCAAGACGGGAATTTCGGGTGGTTCAACCGGCTGGCCTAATTCCGGACTCTAATGCAGCGACATCATTTTCGTGTTGTTTAAATTAAAAAACAATTCGGGTGGCAAACGGCCCCTCATTCAGCTCCATGCGCCATTTCTCTTCTCTTCTCTGCCTTTCTACGAACCCTAAATCTGAATCTGCATCCCAACAAGCTCGACCAGGCAAGGCGACGACGAGGCACGGCGAGAGGTTCCGGCAGCTGCGACGGTTTATTTTTGGCAGGCCGGTGAGAATCTGCACCATGGCGATTCCGTTCTCGGACAGGTTGGTGACACTCTGCACCGCAGCTAATGGGGAAGATGGCGTCGAGGCAATGGGCAGATCTCCACGGCGTCGATGCTAAAGAGGCTGAGGAGACCACGACGGCGAGATAGGTCCTGAGGCGGAGGGAGAAGATCAGTTGTGGTCTTCGACGAGATCATGAAGACAAAGTGGAATTGGGGGTTTTAAGAGGTTGATTTGGTCGAGGATAGGGAGCGGCGATTGTGGGATTGGAGGAAATTTTTGCTGGAGGCGGCTGCTGTTTATGGGTTTTGGTGGGTTAATTAGAGGAAGAAAAGATGGGAGGGTTAGATATTTGAGATGGTTTTGGCCATTCACGTTTATTGTTTTGTCATCTGCTTGGACTTTCAAGAATTCAGATGGATGTTTAAAATTTTCTCGTATAATTTAAATATGATATCAAGACCGGCATAAACCGATATGTATACCGGTTGTACCACCGTCGGACCATTTTAGTTGTGAAATCGGCACACCGACATAAACCGGTTTGACAATCTTGCTTGAAAGACATTTCAGAATCTTCAAGGATACAGACTCCCCTGCCTGGCTGATTGCATATAAAATTGGTTGTGACATTTCTTAGTGGTTAATCGTTGGGAAAAAAGGTAAACAGGGGCATGGCAGAGAGTTGGCTAATATTGTTGAAAACTAGACTTTTCCCCTCTAGGGATCATCGCTCAATGATGATGATTGGAGGCTAGCAGTTGGCTAAAGCAATGTCGCATCATCACTGATACCTGGGCCTTTTTTCTTTGATCTTCTTTACTAGTTTAAGTGGCAGTTGTGTCAACCTTTCTTTGTTGTTGCGGTCCTTGGATTCGTTTGTGGATCCTGGAAATGCCCCTTCCTGTACTCCTAAACTCTTTTTGTTCTTTTTTTATCCTAATACTATATCACGATTACCCAAAAAAAACTATGTTAGTATTATGAGTTACGAGATTCCATCAAACTCAGTCCTGCAGGCAGCAGGGCGATTGGCCAGTCAATTGGCCCAACTTTTTTAGTCTTGCTGCTGCTATATTTGGAAATGTCGCAATGATCAATTTTTCAAAGGTATCAAGCTCCCCACCTTGTGCAACTATGTGGTGAGCAAAGCTAAAAAAAATGGGCAAACGCATGGAAAACAACTAGCAGTAGGATTGTTTTATCGGGTCTCCCAATCTCGTTCATAGATGGTCATTAGCTGGAGCACGCCGAGATCAAGCTGGCTCAAAGTCAACACGGATGGGAGCAGCGACAAAATTTTCTGTTGAAATCGGGCAGGTTAATTAGTACGATATTGTCCGCTTTGGACCAAGCCCACACGGATTTACTTTTGGATATCCTTCCCAAAAGACTTCGTACTAATTGGCTAGGTTGACACTTACACTAATATATAAGAGTTCCTTCCCTTTTATTTCCGATGTGATACTTGGATTGTCGCATAACACTTTCGCTATGTATGAACTAGATAAATCTCCATCGAAATTGAACATGATTGTTAATGAAGATACTTTGGGCATAAACTTATATATTTTCCTTGTTTGTGTTGAAAGCTTTCCAATGGGCTTTGGCGACCGCGTCCAGAAAGGATGAAAGTCTTTCAGGTTCTTACTTCTTACTATACTAAAGTCCAAACCGGTCAAAAACAGCGTGACCAACTTCCAAATCAATATTAATAATTAATTGTAATTTGCCTTTCAATTCCTTCCTAGCCATATAATTCCCCCACTTGATATTTCGTAATCCCTTCCCTGCCTATAGGTTTTGAACTTTTGATTAGGCGCTAATGAGATATCAGTCTCTCCATTAACTTAATCAAAACAAAGATTTGCGACTTAACCATCCATTCCAAAAAGCAAGCATCTTCTTTGCAATTGTAGGCCACCAGAACTACTGCAATAAGCCCAGTGGTATACCCTCCAAACCACCAGCCCATCAAAACAACACGCACAAAAAGCAGATCTTAGGAAACAAACGGAAACTACAGCCAGTCAAGTATCATATATAAGAACTCTCCAACCAAACTCATAGCTCATACCAAACCAACTGAAAACCCACAACCAACTTCAATTTCACCCCTTTTCTTTCACAAAATCTTTCTAACAAAATCCCCGATAAAAACCCATAGACGATGAGCGTGGAGGTTCTCGACGGAAATACCATCGTCAACTTTGTGGGCGATGAGGAGGCATTCACGGTCTCGGTTCACGAGCTATTCGCCAACCTCGACAGCGATCACGATGGCCAGCTCTCGTACTCGGAGATGCTTAAGGAGTTGCAGAGTTTGAGGGTTTTCGAGATCCATTTTGGCATCGACGAGAGTATGAGCCCCAGCGAGCTGACTAGAGAGTACGAGTCTCTGTTCACGAAGTTCGATAATGACTCAAATGGGACGGTGGATCTCGAGGAGTTCAAGGCCGAGACGAGGCAGATGATGTTGGCAATGGCGAGCGCCGAGCGGGATGGGGTTCTTGCCGGTTCAGATGGTGCTGGAAGAGGACAGCCTATTGAAGAAAGCCGTGGAGTGGGAGACTGCTATGCTTCCTGTTTAAGAATGTAACGGCCGGTCGCTTTTCAAAACTAATCTTCTAGTTTGATCCTCGTAGCTTCAGTTTGTTAATTTCTGCAACAGTTTTTGCTTCTTTGGTTTTGGTGTATTGACGATTTGGGTTAATAAAACAGAACACTACATGTGAATTTTCTTTGCTATTGATTTTTGGTATGATTTGGGTTTTGCCAGTTTTAATAAATTAAGCTTGCAGGGACACAGTTTTATTGACCGAAATTAAATCCTTGGTAGAGTAAACAATCCGTGACCTCTATTGTTCATTACTGACTCTAATTCACGAGAGAGATCGGCCTCTTTGACTATGGTACTGTTGATTGATTAACTTTATTTCAATGGTCGATCTTCCTACTGTAAACATAAATCATAATAGTATGGATTTTAGAATTAGATGATTTCACGAATCGATAATAGATCAAGGAAACCTATCTCGATGCATGATGAGAGCGGCGGCGGTGACTTGAGTAGTAATCACCGGAATTGAGTTTATCCCTCTTGACCAATTTAGGTTTTAGGTTTAGAGATTTTCGTGATGGCTAAGAAATTCTACGTAATGGCTTGAGAGAGGACCAATCCTAGAGCTTCTTTAAATAGACCCACCATCAGGGTATATTAGGAATTTACCTTTCATTAACCTAATCAATATAGGATTTACCTTATATATTAAACCATTTAGTGATAATTACACTTGGACCATAATTATTCCCTTGTGACCTACGGGAATGGGCTTACATTCTCCCACTTGGCCTATGTATCATTATATGGTCTAACAATAAAGATAAGTGTACACATAATAAGATAAATCCATCGTAATATTTGGTTCACCATAAAGTCACAATCAAGTATGAAAGCTAGATTAGGATCATGGCGGTTGTATATCTATTTATCGACATAGTCCCTTCCATGTACTACAAAACCAGTCTCATACTCAATATGACACATAACAAGGTAGTCATAATGGTCCAACAATAATGTCTTCCCTAAAGACAAAATCTTGTTCTGTTCACATAATGCATAATGTATATATACCGATCATAATAAATAAAATTAAATTCATAACTTTGTTCCAGAAACAAAATAAATGAGCTCAAAGTGTCAATCCATGAGACATAAAATAACTTTAGTCATGATGTCCTATAATCCCCATCCTTTCGACATGTTCAGTAAATGTCTTAGGAAACAATCCTTTTGTTAATGGATCAGCAATCATAAGCGGTGTGCTAATATGCTCGATCAACACCCTTTGTTTCTGAACTTCTTCCTTAACGACAAAGTATTTCACCACCATATGCTTAGCACACTTCGGATACTTGTCATTCTTAGAGAAGAATACCGCTGCGGAATTATCACAATAAATTTTCAGCGGCTTGGTGATAGCGTCGACGATTTCAAGTCCAGAAATAAAATTCCGCAACCATAAACCATGATTCGTAGCTTCATAACAAGCTATGAATTCAGCTTCCATAGTGGATGTGGCAATAACATACTACTTCGCACTTCTCCATGAAATTGCGCCTCTGGCTAGAAGGAACAAATAGAAAAAAGTAGACTTCCTGGTGTCTACACATCCAGTATAATCTGAATCTGAATATCCAATCACCTCAAGGTGATCAGATCTCCTACAGGTGAGCATGTGATCTTTTATTCCTTGCAAATACCTTAGTATTTTCTTTGCAGCTTTCCAATGATCTACTCCTAGATTACTTTGATACCTGCCCAACATTCCGACAGCAAAACTGATATCTGGTCTTGTACAAGTTTGTGCATAATTCAAACTTCCAACAATAGATTCATAAGGAATGTGTTCCATTTGCTTGCGTTCCAATTCATTCTTTGGACATTGTTTGAGACTAAATTTATCTTCCATCTGAATTGGAACGACATTTGCAGAGCATTCAGCCATGTTGTATCTCTCTAGGATCCGGTTAATGTATGATTTCTGAGACAATCCCAACAATCCTTGTGATCCATCAAGAAATATTTCTATCCCAATCACATAGGATGACTCACCCAAATCCTTCATTTCAAAGTTCTTAGAGAGAAACTCCTTGGTTTGATGTAATAAACCAAGATCATTAGTAGCAAGCAAGATATCGCCAACATACAGAACCAAAATTATAAACTTACTCTCATTGATCTTCAGATATATACTCCTTCCGACTTTCCAGCACCGGGCAGGTGTCAGACTCTATACGGTTTTTTCAGAGGCCGAGATTCAGAGGGTGATCAAATTGATATACATCGATCGACAATGTTTTCCTTAAATCCAAAAGATGTGATGGTATCATTGAACTTAATATACCATTGTCGGAAAGCTTGTTTAAGTCAGTTTATTGACTTCTTTAATTTAGACACCATATGTTCCTTTCCCTCAACCACAAAACCCTCAGGTTGATCCATATAGACTGCTTCATCTAAATTCCCATTAAGAAATGAGGTTTTCACATCCATCTGATGGAGCTCTATATTATAATGAGCTACCATTGCCATGACAATCCTTAAGGAGTCTTTCTTAGAGATGGGTGAAAATGTCTCTTTATAGTCAACACCACTTTTCTGAGTAAAACCTTTGGCAACAAGTCTGGCCCTGTGTCTTTCGATATTGCCATTAAATTCGTGTTTGGTCTTCAAGACCCATCTATTACCAACTCTTTTACAACCTTCAGGAAAATCAACAAGGTCCCAAACTTCATTTTTATACATAGATTTCATCTCTTCTTTCGCGGTAGCTAACCATTTATCATAATGCTCACTTTCCATGGCTTGTGAAAATGAAACTGGATCATGATAAAGTCCTAAATCAGATTCTAACTCTTGAAGATAAACCTCATAATCATCAGAAATTGCAAGTCTTCGATTCTTGTAGACCTTCTTAATGCGATTTCTTGTGGTTCATTTATGTTAGGTTCATTCTCAATAGCAATATTAGGTGGTGCTTGATCATTCATTTGTTGTTCTTGCAAATCATTATCATGCTCAACATGTGCAGGAGCAACAACTTGAGAAGAGGTTAGAGGCAAAGATATTTACACTCTAACTTCTTGAATTCCCACATTGTGTGGCTCTAAGCTCCCACTACCTTCACCATTCTCAATGAACCTAGCATTTCCAGATTCAACAATTCTCGTACTATGGTTAGGGCAATAAAATCGATACCCCTTAGATTTTTCTGGATAACCAATGAAGAAACCACTGATTGTTCGTGAGTCCAGTTTCTTTTCATGTGGATTATATATTCTTACTTCCGCTGGGCAACCCCAAACATGCAGGTGCCTTAAACTGGGTTTCCTTCCCGTCCACAGTTCAAAAGGTGTCTTAGGAACTGCTTTACTAGGAACCCTGTTTAACAAATACACAATGGTCTTTAAAGCGTGCATCCACAATGATTTGGATAACGAGGACTTGCTTAACATACTCCTAAAAATATCCATTAAAGTACGATTCCGCCTTTCTGCAACACCATTTTGTTGCGGTGTTCCTGGCATAGTATATTGAGCACAAATACCACGTCTTTCTAGGAACTTCGCAAATGGACCAGGGCACTCTCCACTTTCATCATATTTTTCATAATATTCTTCACCTCTATCAAATCTGACAATTTTCACCTTTCTTTCTAATTGTCTCTCAACTACATTGATAAACACCCCAAGGGTATCTACAGACTGAGATTTTTCTTGTAGAAAATAGATATATCCATAACGTGAAAAATCATCGATAAAGGTAATGAAATACTTTTCTCTGCCAAGTGATGGAACATCAAAAGCCACAAATATCAGTGTGTATAATTTCAAGGAGCTGTGAGCTTCTTGTGGCTGCTTTCTTAAGTGTGTGTTTTCCTTTAATACACTCAACACAAATTCCAAGGTCAGTAAAGTCCAAATGATCAGGAAGGATGATGCAAGGTTAAGAGAGACTCGGCAAATGGGGTATCAAGTTTTAGTTTGTACAAACCATCAATAAGGGTACCAGATCCCAATAAAACATTATGTTTGATCAAACTAATAGAGCCATTTCCAATGTTCCAAAAATACCCAGTCTTGTCTAGTTGATACACTGAAACCAAATTATGAGAAATAGAAGGAGCATAAAGGGTATTGACAAGGTCCAAATGATGACCAACATCTAAAACCAAACGATAAGTCCCGATAGCTTCTACTGGAACTTTGGCTCGGTTTCCCATATAGATGAACTTCTCATTTTGCCTTATGGTTTGGGTCGTAAGGAATCCTTGCATCGTTCGAAACATGAATGGTACAACCAGTGTCAACCCACCAAGTATTATAAGGAACCTCAGTTAAATTTGATTTGAAACATACTGAAGCACTATGTTTACCCTTTCTTTCAAGCCATGCCTTTCGTTTCAAGCAATCTTTCTGATAATGTTCGGCTTTCTTACAGAAGCAGCATACATCCTTACTTGGTTCCTTCTTGTGGATTTTGGCAGATGACTCATTCACCTTTGATAGTCCTTCCTTGCCCTTCCCATTTTTGTTCCATGGTTTCTTTCCAGCTCCTTTATGACCAACAAGATTGGCAGAATGATTTTATGGTTTCTTAATCCTTGCTTCCTCTTAAACGAGCATGCTTTGTAATTCATGCACATTCCATTTATCCTTTAGAGTATTGTAATGCACATGAAATGTGCCATACTTTGGAGGTAGGGAATGAAGGATGAACGTTACTAGGAAATTTTCATTCACTTCCATTCCCATGGTCTTTAGTCTTGCTGCAATATTCGTCATTTCGATGATATGCTCGTGTATGGTACGAGAACCATCAAACTTCATGGTGGTTAGCGTACCCATCACTCCATCAGTGTCCTAGCAAGCGACTTATCAGCAGCCTCAGAATGAGAGCTTTCTTTCACGGAATTCATAAATTCCTTAGCACTTTCAGTGTCATTGAAAGTTGACTTAATGTTGTTTGCTATAGTCATTTGCATAAACATTAGGCTCAGTCTGTTAGATCTTTCCCACTTAAGAGTGCCAAATCAAGATCCAGAACACCGAGGTATGAACTTGTTCAGCCCATTCACAGAAGTTGAGGCCACTAAACTCAACAACAGACGTGGCTTGCGAATGAAGAGAAACAGGAACAGATGCTGCAAACATATATAACATGTATTCACACATTAATGCCTTGGGTAATAAGCATAAACATAATACAGATTCAGAAGCATAAACATAAAATATATATTGGTGCTATCTTTGGGAAAACAACAATATATAGGAGATAAATAATCGTAATTGATGCTCAAAATAATTTCAGATAGTTAGTGATAGACATACACAAATTAGATATACTTGCAATCTTTGGATATACTAAATATATCTAACCAAGCACATAAATTACCACAATAATGTTCATGAATTACAAAAACGAGCAATCAACCTTTGGGCGATTCGAAAATATTTATAATCACAAACTTCAACTTAAAGCATCACATAAACATTAGTAGTCGAACTTGATTCAACTTGATATCTACAAACCTTCTAATTTGGCCACTTTGGTGACTAACAAATGAATCATAACATAGATATCAAAGGTAAAATTTAACTCAAGGCAAAACAGTTTTGGTCAATCTCACATACGTAGACCTTGTTTCTTTAATTGCTTAACATAATTATGATAATAGTCTAACATAAGTAAGCATACATCCAATTTCATTTGAAACAAACGGTCAACAGATTAAAAGGAAAAAAACAACACATAGAAGCAGAGATGCCACTGACATTTGTGACTGAAACTTAGACACGTATACATGCATATAAATCTTAGAATCACAGCCATAAAGGTTAACGGATTAAAGCCCTTGATTGTAAAGTAGAGAATTAGATGATTTCACGAATCGATAATAGATCAAGAAAATCTACCTCGATCCATGACGAGAGAGGCGACGGTGACTTGAGTAGTAATCACCGGAATTGAGTATCTCCCTCTTGACCCCTTTAGGTTTTAGGTTTAGAGATTTCTCTAATGGCTAAGAAATTCTACGTAATGGGTTGAGAGAGGACCAATCCTAGAGCTTCTTTATATAGACCCACCATCAGGTTATATTAGGAATTTACCTTTCATTAACCTAATCAATATAGGATTTACCTTATATATTAAACCATTAAGTGATAATTACACTTGGACCACAATTATTCCCTTGTGACCTACAGGAATGGGCTTACACCTACATCTCCTTATATATGCTCTTTTATTTTGTAATTTTTTTTAAAGTGGAGTTCATTAGATTAATGACTGGGCCAAGCCCACAAGGGAAGTGTACAAGCAAATCAATAGGAAGAAATGGGGAAAAACCCCCAAAAAAGGGTCCCAAAAGAAAAACCCGGATACCCAATTGGGTCAAGTCCGAGAGCCAAAACTATTTTGGGTCTCTCCCAAACCCTAGCCGCAACGTGCCCCTCTGAAATACCTCCATCGTCGCTACTAAGCTCCGCAACTGCACCTGACACGTCGCCGCCACCAACCAGAGTCAAGCCATGGAACAAACACTCACCTGACTCGGAAGGTGAGGAGAGGAGGAAAGCCACCACCAAACCTCCCACCCCAAGTCGATTGGCGTGCCCTTCTATTTTGTATTTAGAGCTGAACATGAAGGGCTCATTTGCTAGTGGGATTTGTAAATGAGGATTTTGGCCACCATTTGAATTTTCAACACCTTCAGGATTTGTGATGGAATTGGCAGAAAATAAACAAAGTATAAGGGAAACAACCATTCCTTTGCGATTGAAGGGATTTTCAGCGGATGACACGCTAAAACACAACTCCTAACAATGGCCAAGTGTAACCAATGAAAGGGACTACAGTATAGTGGCACAAGTAATAAATATCGAGTCCATGGGTCTCTAGAGTTACTATTACTCAGCTTCATTTCATTATCTAGCAAACTAGATTAATGATTGATTTACTAAGCTACTCTACTAACTAAACTAAAGCTAAACTACTAATTACAAGTTGGGAACTCACTTAGGTATGATTTCCCCTAGCTCCTCAATTAGTTCCAAGTTGTAATTCCCTTTGGTTGCTTTACTGTTGATTAAACTGCAGACGATCGGATAATAGCTTAGAATCTCTTAAGCTAACCAAGCCCTCTTAGACAGAATACCCGGCGGACGACTAACATCCACCGGAGTACAAAGCTAAGGAAATACGCAAAGATCTCCACTACTGGAATGAATTCCAGTACAAAGCAGTGAATTGACTGACTCTCGTACAATCAATTCCCTAGTACCAATTGAGAAAGCTCTCTTAACCCAATCAGATTCTATCTATCATAGGTTAAAGAAGAAATCAAAGGAAAGTGATCAGGATTCAATTGACTCAACAATCATGCCTCAATTGATTAAAACCATTCAGTATAACATCCAAAGTTTCAAACAAGAAAGATCCTAACACATGGAACTAGGGTTCCTCAAAACCTAAGTGAAGGGAAGTTACTCCGAAGAGAAGAGAGAGATTATAGTATAACTTTCCAGATCTTCAATATTCATGTTTAGACTTGTTTCTTGAGCTTCAATGGTGAAGAATCCTCCAAAATAGCTCCAAGAATGGCTTTAGATCTCTCTCTCTCTCTCTCTCTCTCTCTCTCTCTCTCTCTCTCTTTGGTTCGTCCCTTGGGTGTTTGGGATCCAAAACCCAGCTTCAAAATCAGTTCTAGGGTTTGTTCTTCACATTTTCTCTCTCTAGGACTCTGTTTTATGCTCCAAAAATCGTCAAAACAGAGAAATTCGCACCCCCTAATTGCATGGCCGTGCAAATTAAGGTTTTAGCCGTGCAAACCCCTGAAAAACCTTGCACGGCCGTGCACAATTTTCATCACGCACTCCTAAGCTTCGTTGAGCTCGTTTGACCTCCGATTCAGGTGTCGTTTGATCTCAGATGCTCGTAGTCTCGTCCTCTTTCTTTTCATGACAAGCTTGCATGATTGATGACTCGATATTTGCACATGTTTTCCCCTTTGTTTCTTGATCGTTGAAGCTTGCATCATCGCTTCTTTGGCCTATTTTATGCTAGGTTGTGTTCCTTTGTCACATTTCAGGTCCTGGCATGTAAATTGAAGCATAGGTGCAAATTTGAAGTCAATCGGAGATCATTCGGCAATTCGGGAGAAGAAACACGAGCATGACCTGAGGAATAATGGACTTCTACCTCATATTATGGACAAATAATCATGGAATTTTGTCATGAAAAGAAAGAGGACGATACTACGAGCGTCTGGGATCAAACTGCGACTGATTCGGAGTCCGGACGAGGGAGAAACGAAGCATTAAACAGAGGCTGAGCAAGCCACACGGGCACACCTAAACACCCACACGGCCGTGTGACTTGGCCATGTGGCCGTGTGGGATTTACCGAGCACTCACACGGGCATCCTGGGGAGCCACACGGCCGTGTGGCCCCTGCCCGTGTAGCTTGCCTGGTTGCCCATTAATCGAAACTCCGCGTTTTGGCACTCACACGGGCAGCTGGGTAAGCCACACGGCCGTGTGGCCTGGCCGTATGAGTCGGGATATTCTGGGTTTTAAGCCAAATTCGAGCCAAAGGAGTGGGAGAGCTGGGTTTTGGTTCCCAAACACTCAAGGGACGAACCCTAGAGAGAGAGAGAGCGACTTGGGAACATTCTTGGAGCTATTTTGGAGGATTTCTTCGCCATTGGAGCTCGGGAATCAAGCTTGGAGATGGAGATTGAAGATCTAGATCAGATTTCTGCAGTCTCTCTCTTCTCTATGGAGTAACTTCCCTTCACTTAGGTTTTGAGGAACCCTAGTTCCATGTGTTAGGATCTTTCTTGTATGAAGTTTTGGATGCTATATTGTTTGATTATAATCGATTGAGGCATGATTTATAGAGTCAATTGAAACCTGATCATCTTCTCTTGATTTCTGCTTTAACCTATGATAGATAGAATCTGATTAGGTTAAGAGAGCTTCCTTGATTGATAGTGGTAAATTGTTTGTGCGAGAGTCAATCAATTCACTGCTTTGTACTGGAATTCATTCCAGTAGTGGAGATCTGTGTGAATCGCCTTAGCAGTCTACCCCGGTGAAGGCTAGTCGCCTGCCGGGTATTTGGTCTAAGAGGCTTGGTCAGCTTAAGAGATTCCAAGCTAATTTAGGATCTTCCGCAGTTTAATCAATAGTAGACCAACCAAAAGTAATTGCAACTTGGACCTAATTGAGGAGCTAGGGGGAATCATACCTAAGTGAGTTCCCAACTTGTAATTAGTAGAGTAGTCAGTAGAGTAGTTTATAAATCAATCCTTAATCTAGTTTGCTAGATAATGAACTGAAGCTGAGTAATAGTAACTCTAGAGACCCGTGGATTCGATATTTATTACTTGTGCCACTATACTGCGGTCCCTTTCATTGGTTACACTTGGCCATTGTTTGGTGTTGTGTTTTAGCGTGTCAATGATTCTTTATCAATAAAATGAGGTAGAAATCCATTCTTCCTCAAGTCATGCCCGAGTTTCTCCCCCTGAGTCGCCCATTGATCTCCGATTGACTTGAAACTTGCGCCTATGCTTCACTTTATGTGATAAGACCTGAACTGTGACAAAGGAACACAACCTAGCGTAAAATAGGCCAAGGAATGATCAACTTACGAGTTAAACGATCAATAAATGAACGGGAAAACATGTGCAAATATCGAGTCATCATCGGAGAAAGATAAAAACTTACAGCCTTGAGGTTTTAGGGTTAAAATACTAGATTTGATTATGGAATTAGAGGTTTATTAGGATTCAAAATCACTTCATCAGCCAACCCAGAGATCGATAGAGATCGATAGACGATAGTTGCGACAAAATAGCTCAAGAAGGTCAAATGTGGAATATGGAGGTATTAAGTGGTCAGGAGTGTCAGTTTTCATCAACTATTTTCTGTCCATAGTCAAACCCCATATAAAACGCGAGATTGATGAATCTGTGGGGCCCACGGATTTGGGTCCAAAAAAATACTCAAATTCGTGGGTGCCACAAATTTGTGTTTTATTTCTATAGCCGACAAATGATAGACTTCTTCAAGTTCAAAATGTTTGAGATTTGGGTGCCATATCCATCACTCAAATTCAATAAGCAAACAATACCGAAAAGAAGAGTGACACTAAAAAAAACCATCAGTCTAACTAGCTTTGGACGGTTTGCAAAAGGCTCCGGTCACTACGCGCAGGTGCAGGCGCAACTCCTTTCGGCGTTTTCTGGCTCAAAGTATCAATTCCAGCCGAGGGTCCATTGCTGGACGGTAAAGCGGCAAACAAACAGCTCCGACGCTTTTCCAGTTCGTGAGAGCTCTTTGCCTTCTTCGTATCCAAAAGCTTCTTCCTTCCTTCAACAATTTCCGAATCTTGAACGGTGAGAGCTCTTGATTTTCGGATCCGTCTCTTGGTGGGTCTCTCTCTTTCTCCTGGGAGGAGAATCGGCCGATCTCTGAGCTCCATTTCCAAGCTGGTCAAGGTGCGGAGTTTTCCAATCTCATCTCTTTTATACTTTGACAACAGTTCTTGTCCAATTTTTTCGTGGGTTTGTCGAATCTGTGAAGTATGAACAGAATTGGTTTTTGGGTTTCGATCTGTTCTTGGGAAAGCTCAGGACTTCATCGTGAATCTGGCTTTAGATTTAAATCTGCGATGCAATAGTCAGATTTAGGGATTTGGTTGAATCAATAGGTCGAAGCTGAATTTGTCGATTGTTTATACGTTCTATTCCTTGTTCTGTTTTGCTGCCTCACCGGATCAAGAACCACCACTTTCAACAGAGTCCTCCGTTTCAGTTTCATCTTGTCTTTCTCGCCGACCACGCTTTCATTCCCCCGCCGTGCTCGGATTGTACATTGTTGTCCGGTCCGTTTCCGGCAATGATGATAAGCTCGTATTTAATTTTAGTTGTGAATTTCCGTTTTTTTTTTTGCGCTTGGAGTGATTTCTGCAATTACCCTTTTTGGTTCAAATTCTTTGAGTATCAATTCTCGCCAAATTTATTGGGGTCATTACCTCTCTTTTATATTTAAAAATTTCTCAAAGTGATTTCTGCAGTTACCTATTTTGGCTCAAATTCTATGTGTATTAATTGTAACGTTTTGGAGTCATTATCCATTTTAATTTTAGAACTTTCTGAGAGTAATTTATGCTGAGTTGCTTCAGTTGTCCTTGTTGGCGGAGTTTAATTGCAATCAATGCTCTTATTTAATTAGCTTGCTAATTTCTATAATTTAAAATGACCTTATCTGTCTAGGTAGTGTCTATGACTATTCTTTTCCTTTTATTCCCGGTTTGAATTTCACATTTTCGTTATTTATGCTACTGGAATAATTTTTGTTTGATTTAATTACTTGTCAAATTAATACTTCCATCTGTGTAATTACCTTGCTCTTGATTTCCCTCTTTTAGTTCATATTGGTGACTACACCACATTTTTGGAGTGGTATATTCGGTAATCCCGATTATGTCTCATCGGTAGACTTTTATCTCTTTAGACAGAGATTTCTAGCACCATAGTCGTGCATTGTTGGTTGGTCATTTTCAGGTGCTCATATGGTATGAAAGCAATTGAAGGAAGTTTCATCAATCTATCAGGTGACAGTTTAGTCTTATTCATTTATACAAATTTATGAGAATAATTAAGCTTTCTCTGTCGAAGATTGCTAATGTCCCTTTATTTTCTTTGTTGTGGATTTTTGTTGCAACTCGATTCCGATCATCCGGCATACTCCGTTGAAGGAAATTACACTCGCTGGCGGAACTATTGTGGAGATCTTGGGTTTGTGTTTGTGTTTTTGTTTTATTTCCCCGTCAGTGTCGTGTCTTTGCTCCTCGGAGCTTCTTCAGAGCGGCCCAAGTAGTGGCTTAACAGGCTCTTTCATCGTAGTCTGGTTGCATACGGACTAACGTATTTATTTTGAGTCGTTCTTGTAATTGTGTCGAGTTTTTGTCCCATGCCCTTTGGGCTTGTCTTTGAAAAAAAAAATACCGAAAAGAAAAACAAGGATCACAATTCCTTCTCCACCACTAAACATGAAAGCTATGTTCGCTTGTGAGTTGTGACTCGAGTTGATTGGGCTTGGTGGTCTCGGTCTCAAAAGTGGGCCGAACTTCAATTTAATACGCCCATTTATTTATTTATATTTAAATTATTAAAGTGCAAGTTGTCGCATGATTATTTACTGCTCCTTACGAAATATGTGCATAACCCCAATTAATTAGAGAAAATACTGTTCATTAAGGTCAAGGGATTATATTATGTGGGTGTGTGTAGATTAGTTCCGTGTGGAGATCCGTGGCGGCTGACCAAGCATTACCCGAGATCCTTCAACTACCACAGAGGGAAAGTTTTGTCTCTTTAATAAGAAAAACCAAGGATGGAAGTTACTTTGGCCCAACAATTTATTATTAACTTGAATCTTTGGTTAATTTTCATATTTATAATTTTTATTGGCAAACATACTCGATAATTATAAGGATGCATTTTTTAACAATAATAATCAAATTTTGAAATATACAGAGATGTAGTCACATTTAGAAAAAAAAATACGTTTACACTAACTACACTATTGACGGTCTCATGTTTTTGCATTACACATAAATTTTGTACTGTCAGTTATTTTCTTATATAATTGTTCAATCAAATGTGATATTTTCATAACTTAATTGATTTACTTTGCCCCATCAATTCGACGTTAAGCCGAATTCATAATTTTCATGTTTAGAATATTATGTATGAAAAATACATCTGGATATATATAAGGATGCACTTTGTAACTATAATAGTCAACTTTTGAAAAATACATAGATGTAGTCACATTTAGAAACAATACGTTTATCACTAACTAAACAGTTGACCATCTCATCTTTTTGCATTACATAATAGTTTCATACGATCAATTATTTTATTCTATAATAGTTTATTCAAATGTGATACTTTTCATAACTTAATTCCTTTGTTATCAACTACAATATCCAGCCGGCAGCCACATGTCACTTTATAATTCTCTTTCTCGTACTATTGTAGATCCATCTCATTTTCTCTTATTTGTTGGTGTTTCTCATATAACATGTTTAATATATGTATATATTTTCAGAAATTGAGTTGATAATTTCATATTTTTCATATTTATATTCACTTTTTAATTATAAATTTCTAATATTTTGTAACTGGTGCAAAATTTAAACATATTATTTTGCTATTAAATCACGAATAAAACTTTGTGTGTATTAAAAATATGGACTTTGCTACGGTGACATGCATGTCACGGTGACATGCACTTTTCGGTCGACCTCATTCAGGATTAGGTCGATCTAATCTGTTGTTTTAGTGTAAAAACAATTTCATGGCGTCTACTTTGGAGATTCATATCTTACAATTGGCTTGATAGAAATTGGAGATTAAAGGCTTATTTTAAAGCTGAAGTGTCCCTCTACACATTAAAGTACTTGGGAGCTCAATAGAAAGTCCAGAAGACCATTTTTGAACCTGACCAAAAGGCTATGCCAAAACTGGGAAACTACCTGAAAATGGCTAAGTCTGGCAACGTGTTTGTCAAGCCTACTTTGGAGCTCAATTTGAGAAGCATGGATGCGAGTCAAGTCCAGGGGCCTCTACCACGTTAAATTACGTATTTTTTTATACAAAGGAAAGGCATTGGATGAAAGATTGAATATCTTTAAGGCTTCAAACAAAAGGCTCGAAGTTGCTACGAAGGCTGTTTTTTTTTGGCAGCTTGCTTGTGCTCGAAGTCTGCCAGAAAAATAGCCTTTGTAGCAACTTTGACTATTTTAATTGAAGCCTTACATATATCCAATCTTTCATCCAATGCCTTGAATTTGTATAAAAACATGCCTAATTTAACGTGGTAGAGGCTCCTGGACTCGACTCGCATTCATGCTTCTCGAATTGAGCTCCAAAATAGGCTTCACAAACACGTTTCCAGACTTAGCCATTTCCAGACAGTTTCCCAATTTTGGCATAGCCTTTTGATGAGGTTCAAAAATGGTCTTCTGGACTTCCTATCGAGCTCTCAATCACATCAATATGTAGAGGGACACTCCAGCTTCAAAATAAGTCATTAGTCTTCAATTTCCATCTAGCCAATTGTATGATATGAATATCCAAAGTATGCACCATGAACTGTTTTTACACTGAAACAACAGATTAGGTCGACCTGATCCTATATGAGGTCGACCGAATCCTAAATGAGGTCGACCAGATCCTATTTGAGGTTGACCGAATTCTAAATGAGGTCAACCTAATCCTAACTGAGGTTGACCGGAAAGTGCAAGTCACCGTGACATGCATGTCACCGTACGCACACCCTAAAAATATATGTACATGGTGGCTTCTAGCCTTCTACGGTGCACTCACAAAATGAGTGAAAACTATTCAACCATTCTAGAATTTGTTTTAAGAAATTGAATTATAAATTTTAAGGGCTAGTATTAATATTATATGATGATATATAATAAATATTGAGACACATCAATATAACAGGACAAAAATAATACCCATAGGTCCCACCTCACAAGACTACTGATCGGGTATACTACTCATTCAATTCAAATCAAATCAAGCAACACTAGGGATGGCAATTTCGACCTGACCCGTTTTACCCGACCTGTTTGACCTGTTTTGGGGCGGGGCGGGCATGGGTAGTCTCATTGACCCGACCTGCCCTGACCCGCCCCATTCTCGACCCATTCTTGTCTAAATCACATGTAATCTTAGTCAAATTACTGAGAATTTTCCTTTTATTGCATCATATTTTAGCTATAATAAAGTTGTAAATTAGTAAAAATCTCAATTTCTCCAATAATCTAACTACAATTGTCATAATATTGTTTGTTTTCTTAGTCTTATAATAAAAATAACGAATATTTCTAATGTTTTTCATATAAATTGCATACCCATTGGGTCGACCTGCCCCGACTCGCGACCCGTGATCAATTACCCGACCTGGACCCGACCTGCCACGGGGCGGGTCTGGGTACCAAGAAACCCGCCCCGGACCTGCCCCACTGCCATTCCTAAGCAACACCCAACAAGACGGGTTCAAATTGACATCATTAAAACTAGGACATCAGCAATTGAATAAAGGATTAAAATAATGTACCGAAAAACTCAACATTAAGGTATTTTAGACTGTAACAACGCTTTTGTGTTGGAAACCCTAAAAACTTGGCTTGTTTCATTGATCTTTCAGCTTATATGGCTGTTTGCAGTAGTACAAGTGGGTTTGCAAAAGTGTAGAAGAAGACAAGGTTCCTTCAACTACAAGTACAATCCGAAAAGGGTAAAGTGAAGAAAAAACAGAAGTTCAGTGACCAAATGTGAAATTGTCTATCCGCTCTTGTTTTCCCCTGAAACGATGTCACTCCAGGTCCAGCTTGGTTTCGGTTGACTTAGTGGAACACTGTCGTCGAGGCGTTGGATTCCGTCCGTTGTCGAAGCGGCGTCGTAGTGGCTTCGCGGCGGAACGCCGTCGTCTGGAAAGCGGGATTGAGAAGAATTTGAATTCTTCTCTGATAGCCCCCCGCAAGCTGGTGGGCAGAGTTCATGGACACCAAGCTTGGAGAGTAGATGGTGAAAGATGGCCGGGGAGAGAGCCTTGGTGAAGAGATCGGCCAGCTAGTGAATAGTGGAGACGTGGAGGACCTTGATGGTACCATCTTGAAGCTTCTCGCGGACGAAGTGACAGTCCAGTTCGATGTGCTTCGTCCGTTCGTGGAACGTTGGGTTCTCGGCGATGTAGATGGCCGATTGGTTGTCACAGTAGATGGATGCCGGTTGAGGATGGGGAATTTTGAAGTCTTGGAGCAGGTAGAGGAGCCATTGCACTTCACATGTGGTGTATGCAAGGGCACGGTACTCTGCTTCACAGGAAGAACGAGAGATGGTGGTCTGCTTCTTGCATTTCCAGGACACCAAAGAGTCGCCCAAGTAGACACAGAATCCGGTGACAGAGCGGCGTGTGTCGACGAAGGCGGCCCAATCAGAGTCACTGAAGCCCTTCAAGTGCAGTGTGGACGAAGAAGGGAAGAAGAGACCATTGGAAAGGGCCGATTTGAGGTACCTCAGTATTCTATTGACAGCTCTGAAATGTGAATGGCTAGGGTTAGACATGTATTGACTTACTTGTTGGGTGGCGAAACTGATGTCAGGCCTTGTTGTAGTTAGATAAATGAGCTTCCCAACAAGTCGTCTGTATTGTTCTGGATCAGGGTAGGGATCATCATGTTGAGCAGTTAGATGAGTTTTGTAATCAATGGGAGTGGTAACTGGTTTGGTGTTGAGCATGGCAGCATCATCCAGGATCTCCAATGTATACTTTCGTTGAGAAATGTGAATTCCATAAGTTGTTCTTAATACCTCAATGCCCAGAAATAATTTTAAATCACCTAAGTCTTTGATGCTGAATTCCTGATGCAAGTAGGCCTTGATGTTGATGATTTCAGACAAGTCATTGCCTCCAATGACAAGGTCATCAACATAGACAAGAATGCAGGTGTAGGAAGTGGATGTAGCCTTGTAAAACATTGAGTGGTCGACCTTACTAGAAGTGAAACCTTGAGAATGTAGTTTCTCAGCTAGTTTAGAGAACCACTGTCTGGATGCTTGCTTAAGACCATAGAGTGATTTCTTAAGTCGACAGACAGGGTTCTTAATCCCTGCTGGTGGTATGTAACCATCTGGTAGCTTCATGTAGACACATTCCTCAAAATCTCCATGGAGGAATGCATTGTTGATGTCAAGTTGATGCATATGCCAGTTGTGGATGGAGGCCAGAGCAAGAAACAATCTGATTGTAGTCATTTTCACAACAGGGGAAAATGTATCTTGATAGTCGATGCCCTCCTGTTGTGTGTACCCTTTAGCAACTAGTCTTGCTTTTCTTCTTTCTAGGCTACCATCAGAGAGAAACTTGAACTTGTAGATCCACTTGTTACCAATGAGTTTGACATTGGGAGGGGCCTCCACAATGTCCCAAGTCTGGTTCTTGTCAAGAGCTTGAAATTCATCCTGCATAGCAGCATTCCAGAATGGAGACAGGATAGCCTCCTTGTAGGATTCTGGTTCTTTGTAAGAAGAAATGCTCAATGCAAAGTGTCTGTCAGTGGGAGACAAATGATCATAGTGAATAACTTTGCTGAGTGGGTGAGTGATACCTGGATTGTGCTGCTGAGTAGGATGACTGGTAGAAGGAAGCTGCTGAAGCAGGTTACAATGGTATAGTTGGAGATGTGAGGGTGGTTTGGGGGTTCTGGTAGACTTCCTAGTAGGGATTGGGGGTGGTGGTGGTGGTGAGGGTGATGAAGATGGGGAAGGAGAGGAAGGTTGTGCAGGGGTAGGATTGATTGGATTAGTGTCTGTGTCACTATCAGTGTCAAAATGGATGGTGTTTAAATCAGTGAGGGTATGAGAGGGGTTGGTGGTAGGTTGGTAAGTGGGGCTGGGATCATCAAAGGGGGAAGGGGTGAAGGAAGGGTTGTATAGGTCAGAAGGGAGCGGGGGAGTGGTCTCATTGTGGAATGGAAAGTGGTTTTCATGGAATTGGACATCCCTTGAAGTGAAAACTTCATGGGAAGTGAGGTCATAGATCCTGAACCCCTTTATCCCTGATGTAAAGCCAATGAAAATTCCTTTTCTAGCTCTGGAATCAAATTTGGTTCTGTGGTTGCTGAGGGTGCTGGCAAAACAAAGGTAACCAAAAACTCTGAGGTAAGAAAGGTCTGGTGGTTTTTTGTGGAGCTTTTCAAAGGGCTTTGAGCATTCTCACTCATCATCTGGATAAACTTCTCATACTCAGCTTTAGTGAGCTTAACCTCTTGTTGGTCTTTGTCTCCAATCACAGTGGTTGCTGCATTGGCTTGAGGTCTTCCTCTTCCTCTTCCAGTTCCTGGAGGATAACCATTCTTTTGGTAGCACTTGTCTTCTGTGTGCCCAAGTTTCTTGCAGTGGGTGCACTCAGCTGGTCTTCCAGTGGCAGTCACACCTCTAGGGGTCATGCCAGGTGGCCATCCATGTTTGTGAAAACAAACATCTTCAGTGTGTCCTAGTGCTTTACAGTAAGTGCAATAGGGTCTAGTTCTTTTGTTTGCTGGTATGTTGTTGTGGGAAGCAAAAGTAGTGCTTTCTGCAGCAAGAGCCTTGGCCTGATGGCTTCCATACTGATGTCTCTCATGTTGCAGCATTCTCTGGAACACCCTATCAATGGAGGGCAGGGTGTCCTGGAACAAAACCTGTGACCTAACAGTACTGTAGTTCTCATTGAGTCCCCTGAGGAACTGAATGACATAGCCAGTGTCCCTGTAACCCATGACCTGTCTCATGGCTCTACAAGTGGAGTGACTAGTGGGAGTACAGTCACAGGGATCTAAAGGCTGGTAGTTATCCAGTTCATCCCTCACAGCAATCATCTCACCATAGTACTCAGTTAGGGTTTGGTTACCTTGTTTCGTGGTGGCTAAGGCCTCTATCAGCTCTGCTATTCTCACCATGTCACCTTGTCCATATCGAGCCCTTAAGCTTCTCCAGGCTTCTGCAGCTGTCTTGAAAGACATGATTGTCTTCCTGATCCCAGGTTCAACTGCTTGCTGGATCCAAGACATGACCATGATGTTGTTCCTGTTCCAAGACCAGGCTTGAGGGCTATCTGCTGCTGGTTCAGCCAGAGTGCCATTGATAAACCCAGTCTTGTTCTTGGCTCCAAGTGCATTATACATCGCTTTGTTCCAATCATTGTAATTGGTTGTGGTGAGTTTCTCCGCGACCAGTAGTTGTCCTGGTTGTTCAGAGCCATGTAGATAGTATGGACCTGCCATCAGATCCTGAAGTGCAGCTGTGTGTGCAGCATTGGTGTTGGCTGCAGCATTTCCTCCATCAGAACTCATGTTCACATCAGCCATGGTTGTGGCGGCGCCTAGGGTTCAAGAGAACCAGGCTCTGATACCATAACAACGCTTTTGTGTTGGAAACCCTAAAAACTTGGCTTGTTTCATTGATCTTTCATCTTATATAGCTGTTTGCAGTAGTACAAGTGGGTTTGCAAAAGTGTAAAAGAAGACAAGGTTCCTTCAACTACAAGTACAATCCGAAAAGGGTAAAGTGAAGAAAAAACAGAAGTTTAGTGACCAAATGTGAAATTGTCTATCCGCTCTTGTTTTTCCCTGAAACGATGTCGCTCCAGGTCCAGCTTGGTTTCGGTTGACTTAGTGGAACACTCTCGTCGAGGCGTTGGATTCTGTCCGTTATCGAAGCGGTGTCGTAGTGGCTTCGCGGCGGAATGCCGTCGTCTGGAAAGCGAGATTGAGAAGAAATTGAATTCTTCTCTGATAGACTGAAACAGTGGTTTAATCGTGATCCAACCATTTCATACCGCTAAACACCGCCTACCAATCTCCCTTCCGTTAGTAGGTTTTTTTGATCGAATCGCAGGTACGGTAATGTTTTTCAATCCCACTTTGAATACGTATGCACAGCACAAAAGGGAATAATTCTTTCCTGACCAGCAAATTTAACTTTAACAGCAATATATATATATACAGTTAACTCACTGCACCGAAATGGTGTTAGTTACGTGAAAAATTGAAACTACATTTTAATAATAAAATGAGTTGCTTCTGGGAACCGTCACTTGCATACATGTTTGGAGGACTTAGAAAACAGCACACATTAGCCGCCCGAATCTCTCCATATAATCCCATCTCAACTTACATCTAACTAAATATTGATCAGAGTTGGCCATCGGTATTTTCAAGTTTCAACATAAAAAAAAAAAAGGTTAATTATGAATTCTTCGTTGGCGATTGCTCTGTATTTTCTTCTGGGATGCAGCATCGTTCATTTCACAGAAGGCACGGCCACCTGCAGCGGAGGAAAGTTAAAGTCCGGCAACCCTCTGGCGGCGGCGAGGGACAAGCTCTTCGGTTACCTGATCGCCAAGACTTTCGATGCGCCCTACAATGAGTACTGCACTTGGTACCCTGCCACCACCAAAACTGGCGGCACCAAGTACGTATACGGCGTCGCCAACTGTGCCTCGGCGTCCAAGAGCTGCGGCGGGAACTACTGCTCCACCACCGCCGATCAGTGCTCCGCGTGTCTGACCACCGCGCGGAACCGTCTCGTCAAGGAGTGCGGGAAGAGAGTCGCCGGCTACGCTGTGGTTCTTGACGGCGGGAAAGAGCAGCTGTGTAGCATGCAATTTACAGATGCACACCTTTGCTCTTAACTAACTTATTCCTTGATATGATTGATGTGAAATTTCCCTATTGTACGATGTGGCTTCTTTGGGGTTCCGTTTTTTTCCTCATTTCGGATCATAAATATTTCTCAAAACATGATGTGCGAATCAAATTCATGTTTGAATTGAAATTGAGATACTAATGCTAAGTTCTTTAATCTTTTTGTGAATTAGAAGTTAGGGGTACTACGTATTACCAGTGGCGGAGCCAGAAAATTGGTCAAGAGGGTGTCTTTATCATATCATAAAAAATCACCTATACAATAGAAAAGTCAACTTTAAATTAAACAAAAAGTCAACAACGCAATACTCTAAATTCATACAATTACATTAAAATAGTTTCACGTACACCGGTTACAACGTCAAACAAATAAGTTCAGTACATACAAATCAAGACTTTCATTCATCAAATATTACAAATTAGAACTCAGAAGTACCTTGGAATTGATTTTGTGAAACAAACAAGTGAACTTCAATTGGTACTTCTTCACTTTCAACTTTGTTTAAACAAAAGACAAGAAATTTCTCTGTTGTAGAGCTACAAAAAAAAAAATGTGCGAGTTTAAACAAAAGACAACAATTTATTACTATAAATAAAGACGAAAGTGCATTGCATAACAAAACTCACTCGATCGAAATGATAAGAAATTCTTCCTGCAACTGAATGGTCATTGGTTCGAATTTGTATATACCCCTACTCGGAAAAAAATTCTCCAAACCCAAGGGGGGTGCTTGCACCCCCCACCTCTACAAGTGGCTCCGCCACTACGTACTACGAGGAATGTTGTAGTTCGAAAAAACCTGCAAATTTTGTATACTACAAATTAAGGTAATACTAGGTCTTGTGGCAGTTAAATACTGAATTTGACCTACCCCGTTGCTTATAACTGTAGAAATTGCGAAAGGTTCACCCCCATTAAATTATTATTACATCTAGAAGACATAAATACTGCCGAACTCCCAGGTCGTTCATTTTAAAAACAGACTATAATTTGGAATCAGTGATGACAATGGGGCGGGCTACCTCAATTCTCATGTCCCACCACATGCTACTACGAGACGGGCGGGTATCCGCGCGGGTACGGGGCAAGGCGGGTCAACCCACTCTAACATGTTATTCGGAAAAAATACACGCAAATTTTACTTTTTATGATAAAGCGAAGGGAAAAACACTTTAAGAATGAAAATAGTGATAATAGAACGAGTAATTGAGTCTAACAAGTTGAAGATCGACTCTAATTAGTTGAAGAAAAGTCAAAATAGGAGAAATATGTATAGATAGATACTATAGGAAATTGAGATAAAATGGGCCTAAAACGGGACGAGGCGGGGCAAGACAGGTCGGAAGTAGATACCCATGCTCCGCCCCACTCTACTACAGGTCGGATAATACCCGCCCCATCGCGAATCAGATCGGATAATACCCGTGGAGCGGGTTGAAATTACCATCACTACTTGGAATCCATTAGTTGCACGAACTACTCCAAGATCCACACTCCCAATCACATGCCATCCAAATGGACAAAATTAGAACAACCAAATGGCCTTCAATGTGAGGATTGAAGATGGCATGCACTGTCTAAATTTGATTGCTTGAAGCCATGTCCGAGTACTGCTACAATCAGTTTAGTATATGTAACTATATGCTTGTCTGCATCAAAAAATAATGAGATTTCTTAACATTACGGCCCTTCACTTGCAAGGCTGAAAGGTTGGGACTAGTATTTGGGATATGTCGAATATCGTATTTAATGTATCAACTATATGTTTTTAGGATTGGAATTTGGGATATGTCGATCATCAATGTAACATTCAAAGGACAAGGGGGAAAAACTAAAAGAATACTAATTAATTGATTCAATGAAAAGAGAAAAATAAGCTAGCAAATATAATTAAAAATTAAACCATAATTAGGTCTTGTCTCTTATCACTTATCCTTTTATTTAGATGGTAAAAACCAAATTCCAAAACTTAGATACCTTTTAAATCGGGTTAATTGCATGGTTGGTCACTGAAATTACACAAAATGTTCAAGTTTGGTCACTCGAAATATTTAAATCCATTGGTGGTACTTCAGTTTACTGAAACGATTCACGTTTAGTCACTCTCCGTCCAACTCCGTTAACTTTTGCTGATGTGACAGTCAACTCTCAAAGTTGACCGTTAACTTAGTGACGTGGCAACTAAAAAATTATTAAAAATAAAAAATTAACCTTAAAAATTTTCACCTCATTATTATATTTTCGTCCTCGTCCAACAGCCAGAACGCATCGATCGCCTCCTCTTTAAACAACGGCACCCGACAACGCACTGGACTAATCGACACCGCCGGCGGCGATAGGGCCACGAATGTCGACCTCGCTACCTTCACCCTCCGCCGCCGGATCTTCGCCGCAGCCTCGGATGCCGAGATCGTGTCGCGGTACCTGCACGTGAAATCGTAGCACCACTTGCAGTACTTCTCCATATCCCTCTTCGCCGATTCCAGATCTAGGGTATTCGATCTCAATTGAGTCTTCAATTTCCCCAATTTCTCATCCTTCTCGTTCAATTGCTTCTTGTAATCGACGATCGCCTCGCTCTTCTCGCCGCTGCGATGGGGGAACCCGTGGTGGGTGTCCCACAGATTGCCGACTGTGGACGGCGGAGGGGGGTTAACGGCGTCGTATTGAGACCAGTTGAAGGTGTCGTTTAGTCTCAAGAACTGTACCCCAAACGCCGGATCGACAAACTCGCCGTCGCCGGCGGAGACGTCTATGAAGCAATTGCCAAGTGGGTTGACGTAGAAATGGGACTGCGAAAGGTACTCTGCCAGATTGCTCAGGTCCCGCCCTGTGATCTCCTCTTCGAACAACTTCAGGGCATCGTATTGATTCTCCTGCTGCTGGTGACTAGTGGCTGCGACGGTCACGACGATTTTCCAGTCGGTGGTTCTGACAGCTGAAGACGGGGAAGTTGTTGACGGAGTCAGCTCGTAGACGTCGATCGTGGTAGATTCCGATGAAGCGACGAAATGGGTAGTGGAATTAAACTCGAAAGGCGCCATGATCATCTCTATCCGGTTTTTAGTTTTGTTTGCTTACCAGTTACCAATTCTGTCATTTATATCTCTGGGTTCTAGTATAGACTACTAGGAGATTTGGATTGAAATTAGTTTTTTTTAAATGAATGTAATAATGAAGTGGAAAATATAAAAGTTATTTTTTTATTTTTAATAATTTTTTAGTTGCCACATCACTAAGTTAACGGTCAACTTTGAGAGTTGACTGCCACATCAGCAAAAGTTAACGGAGTTGGACGGAGAGTGACCAAACGTGAACCGTTTCAGTACGCTAAAGTATCATCAATGGATTTAAATATTTTGAGTGACCAAACTTGAACGTTTTTTATAATCTCAGTGACCAACCATGCAATTAACCCCTTTTAAATCTCAAAAGGGAAAAAGAAGGAGGCGACATTTTCCTTGATGAGGCGCCAAGAAGGAAATTTTATCCCGCCTAGATGCGGGGACGACAAAAATAAGCGGACTAGTGTGAATTATGTTACTTGTTCGTCTTTGGGGACGATTTTGAGATGTTGTCCCCTATGTCACTAAGACTTTCATTTCCAGAGACTAGTTAAATCTGTTGTCCCTTATGTTTGTCCCCAAACCTTCTTAATTTTGTAGTGAATGCAGTCAAAATCGTGTTTTAAAACTTACAAACTTACTGTTTTACGCTTCTATGTCACCTAAACGCTTTCGTTTCCATATAAAATCTTTAGTGTATAAAATCGGACTAAATTGGTTTAAAGCTTAAAAACGTACGCTTTTACGATTCTTGTTCACTAAATGGGTATTCTTTTCATTAAATTAATGATAAAAAGTATATTTTAAAGGTAAATTATCAATAATATGATACATTTGAAATTAAAAGATACATGCCAAGTATTTGGATTCATTCTCAGCTTCAAAAAGTAATCTAATTCACCAGCTAGGCCCTTCCCAGCTTATAAAATACTCTCTTAGGGGTTGTTTGGATCAGGAAATTTAGATAGGGATTTTGCCACAATCCTTGATCATGAGAGATTTTAACAAAATTATGCGTTTGTGAAGTATAGGAATTGTGGACTTCAGGAATTTTGCCCCCAGCTATTTCAAAATCTATGATATATTTTTTTATTTCTTCCAACCTTATCCTTCTGTTCTTCCAACCTATTCTCCACTACAACCTATTGACTCTCCCATTTGTTCAATCTTCTCCGACCACACCCACCTCCGGCGACAACTTCATTTCCCCAAACCCAGCAGCAACTTTTCTCCGGCGTTGATTCTTCCTCCAGCGATCTCTGTCTTCCTCCGGCGATCTCTAGATTGAGCGATTTCCAGTGAATGAGTTAAGCGGATCTCTTCGATTTCTTCTCCGATTTCTATGGATCTGCGACCCTTCCGCTAGGCCTCGATAATCGACGAGGTTCAAGAGCACAGTTCTTGCGACTACCGTCTGCTTCTAACCGGCGGCGACTCGAGCTACTCCTTTTTCCGATTCCGAACTCCCGCCGGCGAAGAGAGTAGGTGCGATGATTGGGCATTCTCTGTATTGGCGGTTTCTGGTAATCGAGGCGATTCCGACAACTTCTTCTTCTTCTCAAACCCGGCGACGGTTGGGCGTTCTCCAGCAACGTCTTCTTCTTCTCAAGCGGCCAGCGGGGACATGCAGTAGCCCAGAGGGACTCTTGCGATGGATCTGACTGCTTCCCCCTTGATTGGTGGCGGCGGATTTGACGCGACGACGACGAGAATCAAAGAAAGAGAAGAAGATTGCGGATGCCTGTGGATGCTTGCTGATGGGAACTGCTATATGTCTCTGGTGGGGATGCTTGCGACGGGAACGACGATGACCAAATCTGGTTCCTTTTCCGCATAGAGATGAAACAACACGATGAACAATGAAAGGGCAAATTAGAAATTTGACATTTCTTATTAAAAACCTATTTTTCTAAACAAACAAGAAATTTAATACAAATCCTTAATCACAAATACCTGGGTTTTCAGTTGAGGGATTTGAGACTAAATCCTTCACAAATCCCCCAAATTAAATTCCTTAATCCAAACGATCCCTTAAAGTATTTTATAGGGTTATAGGTATAATATGCCCCTATACTATGCACTTTTATCAAATATGCCCTTGTATTATTTTTATTATCAAACATGCCTCTGTAGTATGAATCCATCATCAAATATGCCCCTCCGTTAAAATTAGCAGCCGAAAACCGTTAACCAGGATCAAACCACGGTTTGGGCGACCTGATAGAAGGGGGAAGTGTCAAAAATGCCCCTCTCTTTATCTTAAACCTTTTCAGTTTCTCTCCAGCTTGATTTCGGGAAATCAACCATCTGCTTGCAGCCCCGTTCCCGTTCACGTCCCATCTTCCTCTCAATTCCATTGTCTCCATCCCCTTGTCGTCGTCCACTCGACAACGGCAAATTCAGCCTCCATATATTTATTATCTCCTTCCGTCCGTCCGCTTTTCCGAGAAATCATAGTGGGACTCTAAACCCTATTATGTCATTCTAAGCTGTAGAAGACGACAACCTAAGGTAAGCTATTGCTTTTAAAATTCATTGTTTTGACTTGTAGAAACGACAACCTAGTGTTTAAATATTGATTTTGTATTTTGACATCTTTTGCTTTAGTTCTCACCTGTAGTCGTAGGTAAAGTTTTACTTTAATTTCCCCTTATGAATACTTTATTGTTTTAAGTTGGTGGGTGTGTAATTTATGGTTGAAAACTTATCTGTAGGGTCAAGAACAATCCAGTTAAAAGCGCGATTCTACCTAGAAGTGGTAAGGTGACCTAGAAGCGTAAAACCATAAGCTTTTAAGATTTAAAACGTAGATTTTGACTACATTTGTAAGGAAAAATCACGATTCTACGTAAAAGCGTTTTGGTGACCTAAAAAGGTAAAAATGTAAGCTTTTAAGTTTTAAAGCGCGATTTTGACTGCATTGGTCAAGAATGGATAATCCCAGCCCCAAAATGATTTTTCATGTTAGAGGCAACTTTACAAAGGCTGGCGGTGATGTAATTAGGGCTGCAAATGAGCCGAGCTGAGCCGAGTTTTACCCCAGTTTGAGCTTGACTCGTTAACAAATGAGCTGAGCTCGAGCTCGAGCCATTTATTAACAAGTCGAGTCGATTCGAGTTCGAGCTAGGCTTGTTTACTAAATTCGTAGATCGTATTTGATACATTCATTTTGTATGTCATGTATGGTACATGACTATATCTGATTGATGTAACTATAAAAAAATAATCAAATGTTCATCATTAATTAATCTTATATTATAATTTGTAGGTGTCATATTGTTTAGTTAATAAATTTTAACTAGTTCAAATCATGTTATTTCATAGTATCGAAACAATTTTGCACATAATTTCTTTATAGAATTAAAAATAAGGCATATTTTCTTACAAGTTCAACATGTTAAACTTCACATGATGTGAGATATATAATTTAACAATCCTATGAATTATGAAAGTCCAAACTAGATCGATTCGTCAATAAGTTGGTGATCAAGTTGGCCCTCAAACCACAATGTTGAGACATCTCATGAGCTCTAAATGAGCCAACTCACGAGTTGAGCTCAACAAGCCACCGAGTCAAGCTAGCTCGCAAGCTTCACGAGCTGAACAAAGCTAAGCTCAAGCTTGGCTCGTTAGTAAACGAGTCGAGTTTCGAACGAGTTTTTTCCCGATTCGAGCCTCGAGTTGCTCACGAGTAGCTCGGCTCATTTGCAGCCCTAGATGTAATATATGAAGGAGGTGAAGATTTGTCCTATTCTAAACTTGATCCTGAGGTGATCAGCACTTGGGATCTATCCGAAGTGGTAAAAGAAGAAGCAAATTTAGTTCATGATTTTCAGATGTACTTCAGATCGTGTACGGGACAGGGGGATGAGGCTTGGAGAGAGTTATGTGAAGATATGGCTATTATAGAGTTCCTTAATCAGTTTAAGAGCAAGAATGAATACCATGTCTACATTAAACACTCATTGTCACCAGAAGTAGAGAAACATGATGCTGCACTAGATTTCAATGATAGAATGACAACAATAGAGGGATGCACTAATGAAAATTCCGATGGACAAGAAGCTGAACCGATTAGGGATAATGTGGCAGCACCACGGTTCGAAGAGGATGTGTGGTGTGATGAAGAAATAGATGATTCGGATAGTGAGTTTGAGGTGCATCCGGATTGGGTAAGTGATGGCGAAGTTGAAGATCGTGAGGAAATCGCTACCAATCTAAAGAAGGCAAAAGAAAACTTGAAGAGAGGGATATCAACCACATATCACTCTGATGATGAAGTGGACAGAAGACAAGAAATGATTGCTGAGGAGGGTGGCTTTGACTCTGATGACATTGGGAGTCATGATGAAGATGAAGTGGCCGATCATGACTTACGCAGGAAAAGCATTTTCCCTAAGTTCAATCCGAACTTGGACACACCCTTCTTTGAGGTTGGTATGATTTTCAACAATATGGATGAAGCTAGGGAAGCAATCACTAAGTATTCATTGAATGCCAAGAAAGATCTTAGGGTTAAGAAGTGTGATACAACTAGGGTTAGAATGATATGCACTTATGCTGGTTGTCCATTTGTCCTTTTTGTTTCATGGAGTAAAGTAGCCAATGCCTTGCAAATTAAAACATTGAAGGAGCATAGATGTGGAGTGCATTTTAAGTGTAAAAAATTGTCTCCACTTGTGATTGCATGTAAAGAAATATCATAGGAGGATAAGAATGGACCCTCGATGGAAGCTGAACGACATGGTTGAGACTGCTCGAAGTGAGTATGAGGCCATTCTTCCACCTGATTTTAGAGTCATGCCTGGGAGACCAAAGAAAAAGAGAGTAAGGAGCGCAGAGGAAAGGGAAGACAATAAGAGGCCAAGAAAGAAGCGTGTCTACACTTCTAAAGAGTTGTTAGCTCGGGATAAAAAGGACCCAAATAAACTTGGTAGAAAGGGAATGGTAATTCAGTGCACAAACTGTCAAGCTAATGGACACAATTCTCGTAGTTGTAAGAAGCCAAAGCCAACTAAGGTATGCAATGATTTTCAGAAAACAAAACCCTTCTGTTTGTGACTTGTTTTGTGTATTAAAGGGTTGTTAGTGTTTCCTTAGAGTGATGGTGGAGCTAATAGTACTACGAGGCCAAAAGCAAATAAAAAAAGGCCATTTGCAGGTGGAGGGGCATATCACAGTACTAACAAAAGCTTTGGTGTTATGAACGTAAGAATCCTACATTATCTACTCTATTATAATGTGTATTTGGCAATTAATGATTCTAATCATTTTGTGCTCATGTTGCAGCCTGGCGTGATCAGGAAGATAGCAGTGGAATGCCCCAAACAAAGACAACAAGGGGAAAACAATGTTGGAGGCACACAAGAAACCACTACCACCACTTAACTAGTTCAAGTTAGCTTGCTAGTAAAGTACACGAGTTGACTCCTAGTTTGAAATCTCTTATGATTAGCTAGCTAGCATGGGTGACAAAGAAACTACCATTGAAATTGTTTTTAGATGTACCATTTTGTGATGTTTCTCGGTTGTTGCTGTTATTTTTTTTAGATTGAGCAATATATAAACGTGGTTGGGTTTCTATTAATGATTTGTAAATACTAAAGAAATTGCCAATATATAATTCCATAAAATACCCAGGTTCCAGAAAAGTGACTTGCAAGCAAGTAAAGGGGTGGGTTGGAAGGCTTTCCCGATGTTCTTCTGGTCCAGGCGTTGGAGGCTTTGTCCATGTAACCTCAATAAATATTAAAAAGACACAAAATGGTCAATTAAATAATTAAGGGTATTTTGGACATTTTAGGTCGCCCAAACCGTGGTTTGATCCCGGTTAACGGTTTTCAACCGCTAATTATAACGGAGGTGCATATTTGATGATGGATATATACTACAGGGGCATGTTTGATAATAAAAATAGTACAGGGGCATGTTTGATAAAAGTGCATAGTATAGGGGCATACTATACCTATAACCCTGTTTTATAAGGTAATCTAACTTTTAGGCTTTAGCTAATAGCTTAATCAAATGTGTATTAAAAATATATGTACATGGTGGCTTCTAGCCTTCTACAATGCACTCACAAAATGGGTGAAAACTATTCACCAATTCTAGAATTTGTTTTAAGAAATTGAATTATGAATTTTAAGTGTTGGTATTAATATTATATGATGATATATAATAAATATTGAGACAGCTCAATATAACAGGACAAAAATAATACCCATAGGTCCCACCTCACAATACTACTGATCTGGTATATTACTCATTCAATTCAAATCAAATCAAGCAACACCCAACAAACGGGTTCAAATTGACATCATTAAAGCTAGGACATCGGCAATTGAATCAAGGATTAAAATAATGTACCGGAAAACTCAGCGGTAGGGTATTTTAGACTGAAACAGTGGTTTAATCATGATCCAACCATTTCATATCGCTAAACACCGCCTACCAATCTCCCTTCCATTAATAGGTTTTTCTGATCGAATCGTAGTTATGGTAAGGTTTTTCAATCCCACTTTGAATACATATGCACAAAAGGGAATAATTCTTTCCTGACCAGCAAATTTAACTTTAACAGCAAAATATATATATAGTTAACTCACTGCACCGAAATGGTGTTAGTTACGTGAAAAATTGAAACTACATTTTAATCCTCCATTAATATATTGTAGAGTTATGTGTACTTTTCTCCATTTCAAATTTCCTGTAACGAGAGTGAAAGTAGGAAGGTCATTTTTGTCTTTACACATTTATTATTTATTTCATATAAAAATAGCAATATCAAGATTTGAACCCGGGTCTCTTCAAACAAAGATAACAAACACAACCAGTTACACCAAACAAATTTATTGCATCCTTTTTTATACAAAAAATAGACAAAGTTAATCTCTGAAAATCAGGACTTTTTCATCATAATTAGCAAGCTCACTAAGTCTACCGTATGTATTTTTATCGAGCTTGATACTCCTATTTTCATAGTAGAGTTTCATGTAATTTTCTCAATTTTAAATTCCCGCTCTCTCCTTAATTTTTGCTAAAGGTAAATGGGTAATTGGCCAACATGGAAGAAACTAATTATGTAACTACTGTTGTATCCTCGCATTTTTCAATTTAAATTTAAATTTTGTGTTTTTTTTATCTTTGTTCTTTTCTCTTTCTAACTTCCTCCGAAATTTCATCCATCGTGCAAAGTTTGCGCCTTTCACTTCCCAGTACAAGACTGTTATTGAAAATCAATCTTCATGTATCTCTTGGCACTACGGTTTTATTGTTGGAGATTTTAAGCTGGGCGAGTAGAAGATTTCAACTCCGATATCAATTCATGGCGAATAGAATGGAGTTCATCAATAACTGAAGTTGTAGAAGAAAGATTAGAAATTGAATTTTTGGTTGAATATATGCCTCTTGAGATAGAAATTTGGTTGTACAATGGAGAGTGGTGACTATTGGATCTTTAGGTTCATGGTTTTTGCAACTGTCATAACCTATTTCTATCTTAAAACGAGGAATCATTGATTGATTGTTTGAATTATTTATTCAACCTACTGGAACTAATAGATAAGGAGTGTCTAATTTTGCGCCTTATTACTTTGATCGAGTCTATTCGTATATTGGAGATAACCCTGATTTTTTCGTTTGCTCTCAAGTTGTGATGGTCCCCTCTTAGCTGAGTTTTTAGTATATAGATGACTTGAATCAACAACTCTCTATTTCTTTTTGATTAGTGACATATTGTTTCTAAAAGGAGAGCATTGAACCCTTTATATAGGATTGTGAGGTTTAAGATTTAGTTTCAAACTATCTATGGGTTGTGTGAGAATTTCAGTGAGCTTTTATACTCTATATTTCTTGATTGTCAAAGAAAACTAACCAATAGCATTTTAACAGGGACTTAATTAGCATTATGAAAATGGGCTCAATGATACATTTTTATATTTTATATTCTTAATGATTATTATATTTCTCCGAATGTTCGACCTATATATTATTTCTTTATGTATCATCTCGATCGAATAATTATCAATAAAATTAAACGGGTTAATAGACTTAAAAGTAACATAAAAATACAAATAATCATATATGAGCATTCTGGTCAAAGGACCGGGTTATAAGCTAGTAATAAAATGAGTTGCTTCTGGGAACCGTCACTTGCATACATGTTTGGAGGACTTAGAAAACAGCACACATTAGCCGCCCGAATCTCTCCATATAATCCCATCTCAACTTACATCTAACTAAATATTGATCAGAGTTGGCCATCGGTATTTTCAAGTTTCAACATAAAAAAAAAAGGTTAATTATGACTTCTTCATTGGCGATTGCTCTGTATTTTCTTCTGGGATGCAACATCGTTCATTTCACCGAAGGCACGGCCACCTGCAGCGGAGGAAAGTTGAAGTCCGGCGACCCTCTGGCGGCGGCGAGGAACAAGCTCTTCGGTTATCTGATCGCCAAGACTTTCGATGCGCCCTACAAACAGTACTGCACTTGGTACCCTGCCACCACCAAAACCGGCGGCACCAAGTACGTATACGGCCTCGCCAACTGTGCCTCGGCGTCCAAGAGCTGCGGCGGGAACTACTGCTCCACCACCGCCGCTCAGTGCTCCGCGTGTCTGACCACCGCTCGGAAACGTCTCGTCAAGGAGTGCGGGAAGAGGGTCGCCGGCTACGCTGTGGTTCTAGACAGCGGGAAACAGATGCTGTGTAGCATGCAATTTACGGATGCACACCTTTGCTCTTAACTAACTTATTCCTTGATATGATTGATGTGAAATTTCCCTATTGTACGATGTGGCTCCTTTGGGGTTCCGTTTTTTTCCTCATTTCGGATCATAAATATTTCTCAAAAAACATGATGTGCGAATCAAATTCATGTTTGAATTGAAATTGAGATACTGATGCTAAGTTCTTCAATCTTTTGTGAATTAAAAGTTAGGGGTACTACGTACTACGAGGAATGTTGTAGTTCTCAAAAACCTGCAAATTTTGTATACTACAAATTAAGGTAATACCAGGTCTTGTGGCGGTTAAATACTGAATTTGACCTACCCCGTTGCTTATAACTGTAGAAATTGCGAAAGGTTCACCCCCAATAAATTATTATTACATCTAGAAGGGGAGGGGTTATGGTGGATACCAAGTTTTAGTATCCACGGTGGTTACTAAGGATAATAAGAGTATTTTCCATCCTAGTTATTATCAACTACCATTTTAATAATGCAATTAATTAGAGAGAGAGGAGAGATAATTACCAAAATTAAATATATGGAGTTTTAATCACAGTAGGAGTTTGTTATACCAAAAATTACGGCAGGAAAAGAATTTTGTTGTGGGCACGCTGCCCTAGGGAGGAAATGGCAATGGTAGTTGAGGATTAGAGAGCCCATTGGAGCTAAATCCTCAACTTTTTGGTTTTTCTTCCTCAGCTAAATCCTCAACTAATCCTCAACTAATAAATCAATGGGCTACCCTAAGAATTCTGCAGTGGGCACGCTGCCCTAGGTTTTTCTTCCTCAACAAGGAGCTAAATCAGTTGCTATGGTGGTGATTAGTAATTGCAATGGTAGTTACCGCACTGTAGTTATCAGATACTGTAACGGTAGTGTTTCGTTTGTGGTAATATGACCTACTACAATGGTAGTTATTCATTGTTTCTTGCTCTTTGAAGCCCCACGATTTGGGTTCTTGGTTCTTGCCATTACTAAAACCAAAAAATGGAAGGTAGCAACATTAACCAATGTTAATGATGTATGGAAATGTAACCACTACTACTGGAACTGAATACTACCATACCACACAAACTACTACGGTTGCACAGAACACCACACTACTACTGGAACTCAACACTACCATTCCACACCAAACATCACAGGTATGCAGGTCACTACCAATGCGAGAGAAAAAACCTACCATTCCAACTAAACACTATCATTCCACACCAAACATCACAATTCTGCAGATCACTACCAATTCATGAAAAGAAGCTACCATTCCAAACAACATGAAATCTACCATTCCAACTAAAAACTTCAATTCCACACCAAACTTCACAGGTCTGCAGATTACTACCAATGCATGGGAAGAACCTACCATTCCAAACAACCTAGAACCTAGATCACTACCAAAATTGACCACTACCTTTGCAAACAACCTAATAGTATTCAATACCAAACGACCATATACCAATCCATGCCAAACAAACTATCACAATCGCACATATACAAAAACGACAAGAATACCATTCCACGGAAAACAAAACTCAGATTAATACGATTTGAAGAACATGCAATGTCTATACAATAAAGCGCGCTATTACAACACGTTTACAACACGATTTGAATAACTCTCGCCGATCCCACAACAACGAAACAACCAGTTGCCGAAACGTCTCCCGCTGCGCCGGGGAGAGAACTTGCGGCGCCGGAGGGGGACTGCGGCGACGGGAGAGGGATTGCGGCGACGGAAGAGAACTTCCAGCGCCGGAGAGGGACTGCGGAAGACGGGAGAGGGACTGCGGCGACGGGAGTAGGAACGGCGCCGATCATCCTTAACCGTTCTTGGGAGAGGCGCTGAGGAAGAAAAACCAAAAAGAATGAAAGATTCGAATAGGGAAAGAGCCTATTGATTTAGCTCCTAATAATACGTCGTCGGTTAGGGAGTGGATCCTGTGGGTCTTTACTAAAGAAGCCCTCCAGCAAGATGGGCCATTAGATTCAATTCACTTAATCTCAATGGCTAGATTTAGGGTAGCTACGATGATTACTCAAAAAAGAGTAACTAGGCTAACGCATTCCCATCTAGAAGACATAAATACTGCCGAACTCCCAGGTCGTTCATTTTAAAAACAGACTATAATTTGGAATCAGTGATGACAATGGGGCGGGCTACCTCAATTCCCATGTCCCACCCCATGCTACTACGAGACGGGTGGGTATCCACGCGGGTACGGGGAGAGGCGGGTCAACCCACTCTAACATGTTATTCGGAAAAAATACACGCAAAATTTTACTTTTTATGATAAAGCGAAGGGAAAAACACTTTAAGAATGAAAATAGTGATAATAGAACGAGTAATTGAGTCTAACAAGTTGAAGATCGACTCTAATTAGTTGAAGAAAAGTCAAAATAGGAGAAATATGTATAGATAGATACTATAGGAAATTGAGATAAAATGGGCCTAAAACGGGACGAGGCAGGGCAAGACAGGTCGGAAGTAGATACCCATGCCCCACCCGACACTACTACAGGTCGGATAATACCCGCCCCATCGCGAATCAGATCGGATAATACCCGTGGAGCGGGTTGAAATTACCATCACTACTTGGAATCCATTAGTTGCATGAACTACTCCAAGATCCACACTCCCAATCACATGCCATCCAAATGGACAAAATTAGAACAACCAAATGGCCTTCAATGTGAGGATTGAAGATGGCATGCACTGTCTAAATTTGATTGCTTGAAGCCATGTCCGAGTACTGCTACAATCAGTTTAGTATATGTAACTATGTGCTTGTCTGCATCAAATCATAATGAGATTTCTTAACATTACGGCCCTTCACTTGCAAGGCTGAAAGGTTGGGACTAGTATTTGGGATATGTCGAATATCGTATTTAATGTATCAACTATATATTTTTTGGATTGGAATTGGGATCTAGATCAATGCAGTCAAAATCGTGATTCAAAACTTAAAAACTTACTGTTTTACGCTTCTATGTCACCTAAACGCTTTCATTTCCATATAAAATCTTTAGTGTATAAAATCGGACTAAATTTGTTTAAAGCTTAAAAACGTACGCTTTTACGCATCTAATTCATCAAAATGCTTTACGCTTTTACGATTCTTGTTCACTAAATGGGTATTCTTTTCATTAAATTAATGATAAAAAGTATATTTTAAAGGTAAATTATCAATAATATGATACATTTGAAATTGAAAGATACATGCCAAGTATTTGGATTCATTCTCAGCTTCAAAAAGTAATCTAATTCACCAGCTAGGCCCTTCCCAGCTTATAAAATACTTTAAGAAAGTATTTTATAAAGTAATCTAACTTTTAGGCTTTAGCTAATAGCTTAATTAAATGTGTATTAAAAATATATGTACATGGTGGCTTCTAGCCTTCTACGGTGCACTCACAAAATGGGTGAAAACTATTCACCAATTCTAGAATTTGTTTTAAGAAATTGAATTATGAATTTTAAGTGCTAGTATTAATATTATATGATGATATATAACAAATATTGAGACACATCAATATAACAGGAAAAAAATAATACCCACAGGTCTCACCTCACAATAATACTGATCTGGTATATTACTCATTCAATTCAAATCAAATCAAGCAACACCCAACAAAACGGGTTCAAATTGACATCATTAAAGCTAGAATATCGGCAATTGAATCAAGGATTAAAATAATGTACCGGAAAACTCAGCGGTAGGGTATTTTAGACTAAAACAGTGGTTTAATCGTGATCCAACCATTTCATACCGCTAAACACCGCCTACCAATCTCCCTTCCATGAGTAGGTTTTTCTGATCGAATCGCAGGTACGGTAAGGTTTTTCAATCCCACTTTGAATACATATGCACAAAAGGGAATAATTCTTTCCTGACCAGCAAATTTAACTTTAACAGCAAATATATATATATAGTTAACTCACTGCACCGAAATGGTGTTAGTTACGTGAAAAATTGAAACTACATTTTAATAATAAAATGAGTTGCTTCTGGGAACCGTCACTTGCATACATGTTTGGAGGACTTAGAAAACAGCACACATTAGCCGCCCGAATCTCTCCATATAATCCAATCTCAACTTACATCTAACTAAATATTGATCAGAGTTGGCCATCGGTATTTTCAAGTTTCAACATTAAAAAAAAAAAGGTTAATTATGAATTCTTCATTGGCGATTGCTCTGTATTTTCTTCTGGGATGCAGCATCGTTCATTTCAAGTTTTAACACGAGTGTTGGCACCATATAGTTTTTTGTTTTTATATATTTTCAAAATAGTTTGCGGAGAAGATTAATTTGTGCATTTGTCTATTTGCTTTATAATTTTGAAGAAAATCAATTTGGTATTTTGTATATATCGATACCGAATAAAATTTTAGAGATTGAGATGCCGAATTTATTTTGGGAATTAGATTGAGAATTGAGATTGAATTTATGATACTAATTGGTATTCGAGATTTCGATATTTGATATTGATATATCGATACCGTACCGATTTACAAGGAATTTTTGCAGGTTTATGGAAATAATTAACGACGTTCCTTGCATTACCTTCTTAACTTTTATTCCAGAAAACAGAAACCAACCCAGCCGCGGCTGAAACAGTAGCTACCACAACATAGCAAATAATTTCACATGATCAAAAACACGAAATCAAATCACTGGCAAAGCGTCGTATCCAACACAAACTGCATGGTACACTGCAACAGTTGGTCGTCCACAATCTCAACAAAACCGCCCTCTCTGTCTCCGCATTTCAACATGAGATGATACCGAGCGGTGGTCAGGCAGTGGTTGCAATCCTTGTACACCGTGGAACAGTAGTTGGCGCCGCACTTCTTCGACATGGCGCAGTTGGCCATGCCGTACATGGTGCTCGTCGTGCCGGCGGCGGGGTAATGCGTGCAGTACTGTGAGTAGGAGTTCCAGAATGTGTAGCTTATCAGGTCGGTGAACAATTGGTCCCTCGCCGTCGACAGAGCGTCGCCGGAGCTCAAATGTCCTCCGCTGCACGTGACCGTGGCTGCAGTGAACGGGCAGTAAGAGATGGTGATGCATCCCAGTACAACAAGAGCAATTACTATGGGAGAAAAAGCATTAATGGCGGCGACCTTCATAATGTATTCTAGCTCGTCGTCTTTGTATGTTGTGTGTTTGGTATGGTGAGACGTAAGTTGAGATGTGGATTAATATTGTACGTCGATTGAAGGTAAATGATTGTATTGTGTTTAGACTTTAGATAGCAAATTTGGACACTTCTCAAATATGAACAATTCTTTCCAGACCGGCAACATTTTAATTCCTAACAGTTAAAATGTACAATTAATTAAATGCGCCAATGCTCATCAAACTAGAGTATTTGATACGTGAAAAATTGGAACTAATAATATTAATAATATATAACGATAGACATACATATATGTTTGGAGGAGTTAGAAAACAGCATACAGTGGCCGCCTGAAACTCTCCATATTAATCCAATCCTCAATAATTAAGTTACATCTGATCTAACCATATCAGAAGCCAATTACCGCCATGAATAGTACTGCTTCTTCTTCCATGGCAATTGCTCTGTATTTTCTACTGGGATGCAGCATCATCCATTTCCCTTCCACCCAAGGCAAGGCCACGTGCAGCGGAGGAAAGTTAAAGTCCGGCGACCCTCTAGCGACGGCGAGGGGCAAAGTTTTTGGTACCTTAATGACCAAAACTTTCTCTGCGTACTACAAACAGCGCTGTACTTATGACACTGCCACCGGCACCGGCGCAACTAGCAGCACCATGTACGTATACGGCGTCGCGAACTGTGTCGTTTTGTCCTCGAGCTGCGGCGGAGATGAGTACTGTTCCGCCAGATACCAGCAGTGCTCGACGTGTCTGAGAGAAGCTCGGCGTCGTCTCATGAAGAAATGCGGGAAGCGAGTCGGCGGATTTGTTGTTGTTGTGCAGAAACCACTGCAGTGTAGTTTGCAATTTTCGGATCGACGGCTTTGCCCTTAATTACATTCTGTTTTGATCTCAAAATTTCTATTAATTGCATGCTGCAGTCGGGGAGAAATTTTACAATGCTATATAGTATTGGTGCTATAGGTTTTTTTCTTTACGGTACAACTTGAAATTGTACCTTTAACGTTATGGTACAACTTTAGATTATACTTATACTGTTTGTACAAATTCTTTTATGGTACAACTTGAACTTGTACATTTATGTGATGGTACAACTTCAAGTTGTAAAGTTGTACCATAACATAATCGTACAAATTCTTTTGTGGTACAATCTAAACTTATACATTTCATGTTATGGTACAACTTTAAGTTGTACATTAAAAACACCGATACTATATAGTATAGTAGAAATGCTCGCAGTCGTGTGGGTTTATTTGTTTGGAATAAAATCATCAAATCAGTACTTCGTCATAGTTTTATTTTTACAGGAATATAAGTTTATTTTTTTGTTGTTTAGGTTTGAAACCACTAGATTTAAAGTTAGTAATTTTACTACTAGATCAAGTAATTGTTCGTTACTTTGTCTAGTTTTATGTCACAAAAAAATAACTTTTTTTAACTCCAAATTCAGTTTTGAAAGACATTTTACCCCAATTGTACTTTAGGACGAAAAAATTCATGAAAACGTCTAGTTGTAATTGAATACGCACACGTGGACCTCCCTCCCACAGGAGATAGATAAATTCTTATACAAGTGTCGCCAAATTAAAAAAAAAAAAAAAACATTAGTCTAGTCAACATTTAAAATGACACTGTTAAAGTTTTGAACGAAATTGAAAATTTTGTGTATTAATGAGAAATTGGCATCCACATGGCGTCCTCGTTGGTGTCTTGTTAATGTAACTGACGGAATCTCTAACGGTGTTGAAGTTTTTAACGGAAGTGACTAAATTTGTCAACAATGTTTCTAAAATCAGGACTTTTTTTGTATTTATCAGAAATTGACTATTATTGTCACAAAATCAATAGTTATGACTATACAAGACAATTTTGCATTATTTAAATATAATTATAATTTAAATATTCATTTCTTACAACTTACGAAGACGGATAATTAATAGCCGCTAAACAAATATTTTAGCAGGCTAAAACAATAAGTTTGCTAGGTGGATGGACAATATCTAGATCTGATTCATATGATTCTGGTAACGGTGGAAAAATGGGTGGATGGGTTGCCTCTGACTTCTATTATGAAAATAGTCTACACCTCTTCAACATTTTTCGAATGATGGTGTTTGGTGTATGGGGAATCTACGTTATCTTACACTACTCTTATAGAGATTCCTTGAGAGCTCTGCGACTACAACTAAAACTACTGCTACGGAGAATCCTTCATGGAGTAGAGCTCCGTAAACTATAGAGAAAAAGAAAAAAAGGACAGTTGAGACAAGTAGTCTTTGTGTTGGATTGTATTTGTCTGCCTCTCTCCAGAAGGTTGCTTCAACTTCTGTTTCCCAGGGTCGTCCAACTGCTCGCTCTCTGCTCCTACCGAAAAGTAGCTCGCTTAGCCTCTACGCATGTCAGTTATCGTCGTAGGAAGTCTATGTACACCTCATCATGTCATCCTGTTTCAACATGGTACTACAAGAAAACTAGGCTTTAGAAGTAAATAATTAGAGACAGTTATTGCATTAGTCTCTATATCTAATCTATGAATGCATATATATTATCTGCTTCGGTATATTCTGTTATTTATCTCTGTATCGTAAATTTTCTTACATTTTTTATGTGATAAAATTAAATTAAAACTTTTGGAGACGATTATAACATTTGCTCCTATAAAGTATACTAGTTATTTTGTTCAAAACTTTATTATGCGCTTTGACATCGGAAAGGAGATCAGGCCTATGAATTAGGATGGAACGGGATGTATTTCCGTCGATGGAAGCACGATCTGCCGGCGATTCCATGGTTGACTGAATAAAATTAAATTAAAACTTTTGGAGACGATTATAACATTTGCTCCTATAAAGTATACTAGTTATTTTGTTCAAAACTTTATTATGCGCTTTGACATCGGAAAGGAGATCAGGCCTATGAATTAGGATGGAACGGGATGTATTTCCGTCGATGGAAGCACGATCTGCCGGCGATTCCATGGTTGACTGATTCGTCTTCTTCAGGGAGTTGACTAGGGATAGCGACGCCCTCGAAACCAGATTTGAGCAGCGACAGTGCTGCGGTCGATGACGTTCGGCAAGAAGCTTGGCTGGCCGGTGATACTGCTTGAGAAGGTTATGCAGGGGGTCGTGAGGATTTGAACACGTGACCTCACGGACAAACCAGCTCTGATACCATGTCATAAACCAGTTGGTCCCAATAACTTGAGTTGTTGGGAGAAGGTTATGTTGGATCTTATACAGGTCCGTGTGTGGTGCTTAACCACTTCCTTACACGCCCCCTCAAACGAAAGCCGACTCATGGGCTTGAAGTTTGCACAGGCCCGCCATACCATGTGCTTGAAAGACAACGGTTAATATTGGGGGTCGTGAGGACTTGAACACGTGACCTCACGGACAAACCAGGCTCTGATACCATGAAAAATTTGATGATGCGGAAGAACGAAAGAACACAGAACACACGATTTTACGTGGTATCCTCGATCGATTGATTGATCGAGACTAATCCACGGTGAGCTCGGAACGAGCTCACGACTGATATTTTATTTGGGACTACATTGTGACGGCTTGCTTACGACATAATTCGTAGCTAAGTCTTATATAGAGATGTAATAGGGTTAAAACCCTAACGAGAAGAGTCGAGTACGGCCTAGTATCCGTACCTACTACAACTCGAACAACGCCCAACAAGACCCAATACTAACACGATTTAAGTAACCGCAACAAGCTAGCTAGTCATGGTTTGAGAAGGTAAATCTTGGATTCTAAGAAAGTAAGCCAATATTTTCACCCAATGCGTAGTTAGCATTTCTCCAGAAGGTGCAATATAGATAAAGTTCTGGTATTGGATACATATCTTCCGATCGACAATTCCATAAATTGGTGCAATATAGATAAAGTTATGATATGATTCTGATTATATTTAACATGTTTGGAGGTATCTATTATTTGACTGATGGACCAAATCTATTTCTATTTAATCATCCCTTTAGTAAAGGTGATGTCAATCATTTGCTTGCAAAGTTAGCTGGACAGATAAGGGCAACAATTTATGAATACTTGCTTAATTAATTAGTCCCTAGCTACTTTGATTGTTGATCCTTTCACCTTTTAAAATTACTTATAATCAGAATCCAAAACGAGATTCCTTCTTCCTAATTCCTTGTTCCGCCTTCTTCCCATCCCGGTTTCACTATCAAGAAGACGAATTCTCAATCGAGCCACCACCAGATATTGGCTCGGTCTCGATGGTCTCACACTAACCTTGTTATTCCTCTTCCTAACCACCGGCTTCAGCACCAACTACGAAATCAGATCCAACCTCCAGATCTTTGTTATTCCTCTTCCTAACCACCGGCTTCAGCACCAACTACGAAATCAGATCCAACCTCCAGATCTCTAAAGCAGATGGTTCATAGAAAAGATGAAGAACAATAATGGTCTTGAAAGTAAATAGATCGAAAGAGATTATTCGTCAAAGGAGAGAGAGGGAAACATTGATGGTCGGAACGATAGAGTGGTGGATGTCATAAACCAGTTAGTCTCAATAACTCGAGTTGTTGGGAGAATGTTATATTGGATCTTATACCACACTCTAACACGCCTCCTCAAACGAAAGCCAACATCACGGGCTTGAAGTTTGCACAGGATTACCATACTTGTGCTTTAATTAACTGTTAATATTTATTGGGGATCGTGAAGATTCGAACACACGACCACTTGGTCAAACCAGCTCTGATACCATGTCGAGAACCAGTTTCTCTCAATAACTCGAGTTGTTGGGAGAGGTTCAATCGTGGATCATATACCACAACACTAACACGCCCCCTCAAACGGAAGCCACTCACAAGGGCTTGAAGTTTGCATAGGTCTGAAGACAAGAATACCATGTGCTTAACAAATGGGGGTCACCGAGAATCGAACACAAGACATCTCGGTCATAGAAGGCTCTGATACCATGTCAAGAACCAGTTGATCCCAATAATTCGAGTTGTTGGAAGATCATAAACCAGTTGGTCCCAATAACTCGAGTTGTTGGGAGAGGTTCAATCGTGGATCATATACCACAACACTAACAGTGGAGAGGGATGATGAGTAGGGTAGAGTTTGCAATGAATGAAATTGGGCAAATGGTTTTTTTTAGGAAAGAAGGAAGAACATATGAAAGAGATGAGGAAGTGGGGCGGATGAGAAAAAGGAAAGAGGTGGTGTTTTTTATTTTTATGGGGTAAAATAAAATATGAACAGCATGTCATTGTTGACTGTATTTTCTAGTTAATCACTAACAGAAAGTCGGTGTACAAATGACAAGTCGAAAGTTGAGTAATATCAATGATACATTCACTAAAGATGGCTATTTTTAGAGGTATTAGCCCTTAGTATAAAAGAGAACCTGCTGTGTTTTGTCAGTTCAGATTAAAACAAAGCTAACCCACAGCCACAATCATCATAATAATATAAAAAAACTGAGCGATAACATGCTTATAATTAAGCAGAAGAAAAGAGAAGTTCTAACCAACACCACATGCTTATAACTTGCAACCTACAATAACAAAAGAACAGACCACAAGCATTAACGGCCAGCCATGGCAGAAATTAAAAACCAGCCCGGCCAGGCCTGTCTAGACGAAGCGGTTAAACCTACCGGACAAGCTAAGTAGATCCGAGTGGATTTGAACCACCAACCTCTCACATATCCACAAAGGGAATGGAGCGCTCTCCCATTTTGAGCTTACAGATCTTCCCAAATAGACCAAGCCACCGAGGACCCACTATTTGACGTCTACTACACGTCTACACCCACGCAGCAGCAAGCAAATCAATCGATAGATATTCACAAGCCGATGCGATACCGCGTCCGCACAAATATATCGGCCGACAATTGTTGCAAATAAAAATGACACCCAACGAACAAAGAACAACAATCTGCCTCGGTGTTATATCCACCACATCAATTTTCATGCACATGATGTTTTTACCTCTACAAGGCTTTGCCCATGCGCTACATTTTTATAGTTGAATTCTTCAATCTTGGGTGTTTTCTAAAGGTTAAAGAACTCGAGTAAAGATTACATCTAGAATATAATGCAACATCAAACAGTAGCAATATTCTTACCAGAACTAAGCACACCGGTAAGACCAATTTCTATATCACAAATGAAATAAACCCACTTAGGCATTATTAACAGGTAAAACATTATTTAGTATTATTTAATCAGGGTTGTAATCTGTGTTCAAATGTGATTCCATCACAATAATTACCTTTATGCTATTAACAAATAAAATTTTATATTTTAATGCTATAAATAATTAATCATTGAATATAATAATATTAGAAAATGGCCAAACTAATACAACAATCAAGGAAACCAAATTGCAGTTAATCAAAATCGATTTGATAAATTGATTTAACCGATAAACCAATAAGACATCACTTTATCATTAAGATTATCATTAAGTGAGAAAATGAAAATTCATGGGTATACGTTTTGTGTGAATAGACTTAATTACGACCAAATAAATATATCATATAGACGACTAATTACTTTATTGATTATGATTATTAGGAATGCTGGAAACCAAACCAGGTCACCTAGACAAACAAGCTAAATAAGTATACCAGACCAATAATCTTAATTAACAAGCCAAATTAACCAAATAGTAAAAATTGACTCGGTCTTACCACATCACCACCAAGTTTGAACACCATAGTGATATTCATTCCGGACATCAACGAAGAGCAAAAATTGAAAATATCATATATACGGGTGACTATCATATTTCTTGACTGACGCGGAACACAAACGCCGGTAGAATTTACCAATGTTGTCATAACCGAACCGGTGCATGACCCCCGAACCGGAGCATGACCCGGTAAACAAACTGCAGCAACAAAGCCAAACTTGCAAATAATTTATCAGCGCCTTTGCTCACTCAAGAGGTTGATTGCTAATCATCATTAACGAGGCCTTCGTAACATTAACAAGGACTCGAAGCCAACCATCGGCAAGCCTACAAAGTACTGCCAAAACCACTCAATCTGTCCAAGAATGAACTATAATAATCATATGCCAGCGCACTAACGTAACAGAAAAATACCGCAATTACAAGATGGTACTCAAAATCACGGTCACCTCAATGAAGCCTCCGGGTTATGGTCTCCTTGAGATTATTCAGAGCTTCTTCCCCAACAAGTTCATCTTCCCAGCCAGAGAAGATTTCGTAACCCTCCTAGAAACAAGTGATCTGAACTACTACATATTACATGTGGCAAATAGCTCGACAGGAGTAAAGAGTATTAGCTACAACAATCAGTGCAAACATGACAAAAGAATGCGAGGAAAACGAAGAGAGACGATCACAACAAGGTTGTTCTTCTACCTTCACAAAAACTTGGTCACAACCCTACTCGAGGTTACGAAATGAAGAGAAAGGTGGATTAAATTCGACCAAGCGCGAGAGCCTGAGATCGAGAGATTTCAACTACTTAAATATGATTTTAGGTTCCAGTAGTACGTTATAATTTACCACCTGACGTATCGTAGCATATACTATGGCCGAACAGAAAGGCGAAACAGGCCGAAATTCATATGATAAAAGGAGTAACCTGGTTGGATAGGAGGTACCTTGTGCGAGCTGAAATAATCGGACATGGAAATGAACCTTACTGGGATGCTGATTGATTGACGCGCCTTGTGAACAACCTCTGGGCAATTGTAGCGAGTGATAGCTTGAACAGTTGTTTTTATCGAAACAGAGACGACCGAGAGAGAGAGAGAAGGAAGACACGAGACATGAGAGGGAAGAACCCGGGCAAAATCCCCCGTGCGAACTTCCCTCTGAACACAAAAAGGTTTCCTTTTTTATTCAATAGGGTGACCTGCCAAGCGAGCGCACCCGTCATGGCAAAGGTCGGATGACAAAGATATTAACCAGGACCACCAGGCAACCGAAACACAGCGCCCTTCGTCCTCCCATATCTTATACATCATCCCACAACACACACAGGTCTTCAACCTTCAACTGCTCCGCCGGCAACCACGGATCTTACCTAAAGCCACCGGCTGGATCTCGATCCGCCAACAGAAACACCTGCTATGCCGTCGCCGTCTCCATTATAGGCAACAAAATGACCAGATCTGCACAGGCCCTGCTGTTCGAGATCTGAGGGGGGAAAACAAACCGAAAGAAGAATCAATAAACAGAAATACGGAATTCAGGAGTTGAGATGATAACCTTTAGTTAGAACAGATCTTTGTTCGTGTAGGATAGAAGTCGGAAACGAACATCTCAGCCGCTGAAATGACCATCATAGGGTAGATCGATGCAAGATCTACACGGAGACAAGAACCACGCGCCGAGAGGAACCGACATGGAAGGGAGATCTGGAGCGGACGCGAACGCAGAGAAGGGATGGAGAGCGTTGCCTGTGAAAAACGGGAGGACGGAGAAGAAAGAAAAAGATAATGATAATTAATATGAAATGAATATTTCAGGGTAGAGGGGGAGAGATAGCTAATATAGGAGGGAAAGGGAGAACGGACGGTCGAGATGAAGGGTCAGCACGTGGCTTAGGCGGTGGTACAATAGACATAGACAGACGGCAACTAATTAGCTGGAATTGCAAGGGAACAAAAAGGGAGCAATTAGGCCTTAGCTGGCAACGATAGGTAACATTTTTTAAACCTTGCGTTGGTTGGACTTTGTCAAAGGCGGCCGATGCACAAGGTACGGGGGGACATTTGTTACCAACTATGTCATGAATCAGAAGCAAACTCAGAATTTAAGACCCTTAATCATTTACAAGGAGCTTTTTCTATTAAATCCACCCAAAACCATTCGCGTATGAACTATTTGCCAGCTTAACATCTCATAACTAAAAAGAATTTAGGCCAAACAAACACAATCAGACTGTGTTAAACGAAAATTTGATGCATAAATTGATCTTGGTAACAAATCAGAAACATGATTGTCAAGCCGGCCGGCGTGCCACCGATTGTACCAGGTTCAACCAATACCGGTCATAAAACCGGCGTGACACCACCGGTATGACCGGTATGATCGATATACGAATCTCTAAGTAAAATGACCTTATTTTAGCAAATTTAATTGATAAAAATTATTTCATTATTTATTTTATGAGTATAAAAGTTAAAAATTGATGTTATTTGTTGGATTCAAGTATAAATATTTAGGTATTGACGTTAAATGTCATGTTTAAATATGAGGATTTATAATTTTATTTGTAATATTGACCGGCATGAACCGATATGTGCCACCGGTCGAACCATTCCACTTGCTAAACCGCCACACTAGCATAAACCGATTTAACAACTTTGATCAGAAACATTAAAACACAGGAAACAGAACAAACTAACAATAAGAAACAGAGGACATCACAAAGGGAACAAAGTCAGGAACCAAAAGAACAAACTGCATTCGATAGGCCCATTGTATTTATTCACTTTTTCAGGGGAGGGGGTAGGTGCTGGTTCAGGTTTCAGGAAAACGCTAGTCAGTGGTTCCTTGGAATGCAAGGTAGCATCCAGCAACGCCAGAGCCTCTTCGGACCCGAATTCGACCTCCTTCTCGACCACATCGGCCCGATCAAAGCCCTCGAAAGCAGTCAGAACAGAGTTGTAATCCAGCGGCGATACCGTGAGATCGTCGCTTACCATGTACTGGACCTTTTCCTTCACGTAGTCCGCCATCGAGACCAATTCGGTGAACTGCACTACCTCGTTCATATCCCCACAACAGTGAACACATCTAGTCCATTTGTCGATTCCGCACTTGACGTGCCTGTGATTGTCCTTGCAGCTGTAGAGCTGTCTGCCAAAATTTTGGCTGGGAATCAGCCGTGGCAGAATGGGGACATAGGTAAACAACTGAGGGGTAATGTTGCTGGGGTGGTCCCAGTAGCTGTCGTGTGGAGGGTTTAGGTACCCTTTCATCTTGAGCGAATGGACGCTGCCATGAAGCTTTGCGAGGCTACTGGAGCCTGCGGCGTCCAGGTACTTCACCATGGCGCTTAGAGGGAGTGAGAGGATGTAGAACAGCAGGTCCACGAAGTCCTTTTGAGCCTCTGCAAAGATCACCATGTTCCTCTTCCTGTCCACCACCAGCTTCAACTTCATCTTCGCAGTGATGGCCGCCATGTCTGTCTGTGATCTCGATACTTTATTCGATGAACAGTCGCTGTGGATTACTGGTGGGGTGGGGGGGCCGTTTGTTGTTCTTCTTCTCAAGAAGGTAGTGACTCTTCCTTTGACTTGGCATAACATGTTGGATAGTATGATTGTGAAAGTTGTGCAGGGAGGGAGAGCTGGTCTGATTGAGTGCTCAATTTGGTGCTGGTGTATGTGCTTCATTTGGAAGGAGCGATGTCGTCGTTGTTTTGGTGAGGAACATTGTGCCCCTGATGTTTTTGTAGAGCAGCTGCGTTGGGAGATAAGTTTGTATGGAACTGGGAATACTGCATTTCATGAGGAAGTTAGGAAGATTCCAGTTTACTGCCAACTGTTGTAGGCATACTTTTTCTATCTTCCCTTTGTTATGAGTTGCTTTGTTATTTGAGAGATTTGGGCTTCTAGCCTTTGTATTTTCGAGACTCTTTGCTTGTTTGCAAAGGGTTTGTGCTTAATGATAACCACTAATTGCCGGGGAAAAAATGTGATCTTTATCGTAGATTCTCAACAAAGATATTTCTAACCTTATCATATGTTATTTTTCAAGGAATCTTGTGTCTCATCCTCGGGTATGAAGTCAAAGTTCGTCAACAATCATACTTAAGTCATTTTGAAAAATTTGATGGGTAAATACAATATATTAGCCACAACTATTATGAAGCGGGGAATTATAGCCACAATTATGAATATTCAAATTATTAGCTATAACTATTGTTGCGGGTCAAGATATGGCTAACTGTCTGTTACTGTTATTAAATTTATGACAAAGAAGGTCACGTCATTAGCCACGACAGCGGGCACGTCGGAATGATTTTAATTTATAACTTTAAAACATAATAGTTTAGTCAGTATTACTAACGAAATTGTTAACAGATAGTTAACGTATGGCTAATAATTTGAATTTCTATAGTTGTAGCTATAATTTCCAGCTTCATATATAATAGTAGTGGCTAATATATTGTATTTACCGAATTTTGATTAATAATCGGCGACGATAACTCCAAGTCTGAAAGAAAATTTCTTAGCATACGACTTATGACCTCAATAGAGCTTGCTCAATCAAACATGATATAGAGCAAATATTATTAATGTGAACTTAGGACACATTATAAATTAATTGCACATTTAATTCCTCTTCATTTGAGGAGTTTAAGGTAGAACGTGATTTGAATGAATAAGAAGTCTTTTTAAATAAAGAACCGTAACTATTCGATCAAGATTACACTCTAACATTTTTATAAATAATAATTGTTTTATTTTATAGACATATACTTTATGAATAAGAGAGTATTTCATTGCAACAAAATATAAAGTAATATAGTTTGTTTTCTCTCTTTTCATATATATTTTGTTTAATCGATAAAAACATTATTGTTTATGTGTATGTTTGTTTAATTTTTTCATCAAAATGTAACTTATCATTCAGTTTTAGTAAAAATGAGTAGAAAATTTACTTCATAAGGTTTAATCATATATTTTTTATTTGAACAAATGTGATATATGTCACATATTTTCTTATTTGTATTTTGTTTACTTGACGAATTTTTATTATTATTTATGTGTGTTTGGTTAAGTTATCAACATGTAACTTATTATTAAAGAAAAAAGTGGATAAATGAAAAATAATAATTGAATAAAATAAATGGAAATATTAAAGAAGAGAGAGGTAGCTCCATAAATACATTAATAACTTTTTTTTTTTTGTAAAAAAGTTGTCCAACTTGGCAAATTGTGGATCCTCCAAGTGCTTATGTGGCAAGAGATTGACTTTGAATTGCCATAATATATAGTATAGATAGATAGATAGATAGATAGATAGATATAGATATAGATAGATAGATAGAATAGATAGATATAGATAGATAGATAGATAGATAGATAGATAGATAGATAGATAGATATAGATAGATGACCCTACGATTAAGGGTTAACCGCATGATTGGTAATTGAGATTACAAAAAAATGTTCATGTTTGATCACTCGAAATATTTAAATTCATTTTTGTTACTTCAATTTATTGACACCGTTCACGTTTGGTCACTCTCCGTTAGTCGTCGTCCATCTTCGTTAATGGAGTTCGTTAAGTGATGACGTGGCGGACAGAATCGTTCAATCAGCCATATTTCACCCGAAAATAGTGCGACCCGACCCACCATGTCACTGACACCCCCCATGTCATCTAAACAAACCTACCCTCTAACCAGACCCGACTCTTCGACGGCGACATTGAGATCGGCAAATCGGCGAACTCCCAACCCGCCTTTGTTTGGGCTTCGTCGAACACGCGGAGATAATGAGGGTCCGAAATGCGGTTGGGGATGTATTCAGGACGAATGGAGCTTCGTAAACGGATTGAACGAGAAATCCCCCTTCTCCGAATCGAACTGGACCGACCAGCCGGCGATTCTACGTCGCGACAAAGAAAGCCGGAGAAGAAATCAACCACATCTACGGATTATCCATCACCGGGTTGAGATTCTTCACTATTTACGGGCCATGTGAAAGGTCCGACATGGCCTACTTCTCATGGACGGAGCCAGGATTTTTAATTAGGGGGGGGGGCGACGAATTTTTTTCCAACACATATATAGTGATTAAAAAATACGACCTGGGTTCCATTATAAAACTCCATCCCTGTAAAATCATGGAAAACCCCGATCGTATCACGTATCACGACTTGTGTGATACAATGACACGACTTGGTATGTATTTATGTTAAGAGATCTGTTGTAAGCTTACTATATTAGGTGCAGAGATGATGAATGATGTATTAACTCCAATGCTTATAATAATCATGGGTGGTTAGTTTTGGGGGGGCCGCTATGCCAAAAGCGAGAGAAAACCTCATCTCTCTCTTTCCTTTTTACGTCTTCATGTCGCCACGCGAGGGGGACATGGGGACATAAAAAGGGGGATCCTATCAACTTGTTCCAACTTAGGATAATAAGCTCATGAGCTTGGTCTTACTTCACCGTCGAGAAACGAAAGAAGACTTCCGTTTTTTGGGTGTGAAGCAGTGTCAAACCAAAATACCCAACAAGCATTACCTCTCCCTGAAAAGGAGGTGATCCAGCCGCCCCTTCCAGTGTTACGACTTCACTCCATTCACTAGCCCTGCCTTCGACATCCCCCTCAATCAATTCTGTTCCACTTAATCCCTATTTCATGGCCACATATCTTTTAGGCTAATGAATGGGAAACCTTTCTCCTATTCCATGAATCCAATTTTCATTTCATCCGGAAAAAGCCATCTTTATGCATATATATAATGATAGTTTATGATAGTAACAACATATGATTATATTTTATTCATTTACAGGATAATTGCTTACATGTAATGTTACTTAGTTAATCCAATTATCCGATTAACCAAATCAATTTAATTTTGGTTTGATTAATTTGATTTTCGTGTTAATTTGAACGACTTGATCAAGACATATTATTCCACTGTTAAAGAAATTTAGACTTACTTAATTTGATTATTACCACGATAATCATTTGAACACCCCTAATAACTTTGGTACTCATTATAAACTCCAACGTTCAAGTAATAACACAGATTAACACAGATCCAATTTTCTTAACTACCAGGAACTACCAACACAAATCCAATTTTTCTTAACTACCAGTTTTTTTGAAAAGTAGAGTTTCGCTTCTTTAATTAGTCTTAGACCATTTTAAATCTTCAATTAGCAAAGCGAGTATTACTCGAAATCTTCTTATTTGAATAGAGTTCTTAGTTATTATAGAAAATTCTATCAAAAAGTTACTATAGAAAATGACTAAATTAATTAATTTAAATAATATAATATCACGCTCTCGTCACACTCTCAATGTTAGAAATCTTCAAATCTTCACAAATGAGCGCTCTCACACCCTCGTTCTCACCCTACGATTACCTAAAACTAAAAACTGGATGGATCCGACATTTCAAAAAAGAGATTCTCACCCTACGAAACGAATTGATTACCTAAAACTAAAAACTGGATGGATCTGACAGCTCAAAAAAGAGATTTGGAATTCCGTAATGACCATGAGAGTCGTGCGACTAAGGCCGATGATGAGAATCTTTTAAGAATTGTGCTTTCGAGCACAGAGATTAAGCAGAAGAACAAAATCGAGCTTACTTGTGCTTTGATACCGTGTCCGTGCCTAAACACTCGATTCACGAAGGAAAAAAATAACTCTTAAAATGATTTATTCATCTAGATCCGCTTTACTTGCTTGGAAAAACGAGAATGATACAGAGGAGTTCCCCCCCTTCATACCCGAGCTGGGTTTACTACCAGGAGGGGAAAAGCCGAAAAGGTTTTTTGCAACTGCAAGCCCTAACAAACAGATGAGGAAAATTACGATTTCATACTTCTATTTTACTAGCTAGTCTTCAGAGTCCCTACTCTTCCTGTATAGTTGCTCTTCAGTTGGTCTGTTCATAATCAAATATATAGTTGATTATGATCACTGACAACCACAGCCTCATTCGCTATAGATTAATCGGACGCCTAACTGATAGAACACCCAGAAAGTGAAGATGAAATTGAAACCTAGAGACTTATTACAGAGGCGCAGCGACCACTTGGTCTCGTGCGTCCCTTCTTATTGAAATCGAACTTCTGCACGCACCATCTTTGAACTGATCTCAATGGTTGGCAGTGGCTTGGTTACGCGCCTTCTCCTTCTCTTTCACTTCACTCCCCTGGCTCCTGTCATAATCTATACACCATCCATTCACCCGTAAGCCCAAAATAAGAAGGGGGCAACTATCTAAAACTGTCCAATTGACCAAAAACAATATCATCTCTTAACTAAAGCATAAATACCAGGGTGATCTTCATGGATCTTCTTGTCCAGCTTGACATCGTCGTCGTCGTTCCCCCCATAGATCCCGCCAAATCCCTCCTCGTCGCTCCTCGTTGCATACCCTTCTCCAAACGAATGCGACATCGCGTCCCTGCACAGCCATGCACATATACAGCTTAGCTAGCTTCAGCAACCTTTGTAGCGTGTGTAAAGAAACAAACTTTTGCACCTAGATAACAAATTCGAAACATCGTAACTCATATATGGCATACCCTTTCTTGTCCTTGGGCTCCTGAGCTTTGTCCATGTCGTGCTTACTGTCTGGGTTGGTACAAAAGGCCTTCTTCCCCTTCCTCAAACTAACAAAACCTGTTGACCAAGGAACTCTAACTTCCCTGCTTACTTGGTTCGACGTCGGAGATATTACTACACCAGCGGGCAGTTGATGATGGCTTCTAAACGACCTAACGATCGCCTGGTTCATCTTTATATTGAAGAGGAAAGAGAAAGGAGATGAATAGTACAATTACAGACTCTCCAACGAACGAAGCAGATTTTCATGTCGAGGAAACCGACAATATTAACAAAAAGGCAGGGTTTCAGATCAGCAGCTTTGTCCAGATCGACAGATTTCTGCTCTAGATAACGCCCACTTCCTGCCACGTAGCATTGCTGGCGACACGTGGCTGACGGAGACCTTGCAAGTGCTAAATAAGCCCCAAGAGAAGAGAAGAGTGGGTGGTGAGCTGGTGGCCGGTGGTTGATTAAACATCGACGCTTGTCCCCCGCGTGGCAAAGAAGCGAACCTCTGTGTATATGGATTGGGCCTCTTTTTGTGACTGGCCCAACTCATTGAGGCATCACGATTGGGCGCAGTTCTCGGATTTTATGGGCCTAACCCATTAGCTTTTCCAGAAACCCCGACCCTTGTCTTTGATCCGTCGTTCGATACAAGAGTTAATAGCATTTTGTACATCTCTATTATCACAAATTAACAAACGTACTCCTTTATTAATTTTTTTGCAAGAACATACCCCTCTCATATTAAAACGTAACAAATATACTTTTCCATCCAATTTTCAGTTAATCAGCCTTTTAACGGACTACAAAATTACTTGAATACCCCTAATTTACTCCTAAATTCGTTGTCCAACTCAATTAATTAAAATCTAAACCTGTCCTAAGTCGATCACTATTATCTTCGACAGTAGAACCTTTTCGTCTTCCTCAATCACCCGCTACCGCAAGGTTAAAGCATTTGGGACCCATTAACTTCCGACGTCACCCAGCTTTTCGTTCTCGACACATGGAGCAAGCTTCAGTGGGCGAGATGTCTAGCACCCGAAGGTGAGACGCGACGAACACCAGTGGGTGATCGTTGACGAATCCGGCCTAGAAACTCCGGTTACACCCAGACTGTCCTCGAAGTCGGTTGGAGAATATTTGAGTAGACGAGACGGTAGGCATAAGATGGTGATCGATCCTTTGCTATGGTGAGACGCCACAAATTTAGCCATTATCTACTCTGCTACTACCCATCTTCTCGGTGGTTAATCAATTATATTGGAATTGTGGATTTGAGTGGTAATTGGTAAGGTATTGTTACTGTCTACAATGAACCCAAGGGCGGATCCAGGTGGAGGGGTGGGACACCCCTAAATTTTGGGAGAAAAATTGATCAATTTCCGATAGTAGTTTGAGTATGAAAAATGGTAGTGTATTTGATTCGATTCTATAACACAATAGTTATTAGTGAATATTTTTTCTATTTGACTGAACACTTCAATTGGCCTATTTGTTTCTCAAAGTGGCATTGATTTTATCGATTGCAACTCCAAGTGTTGAGATAGTTGTTTAGCTTTGGGTTACATCAGGAACAAGTTTCAGAATGGAATAGATGATCCTTTTGTGAATAATTATCTTGTAAGATATATTAAAAAGATTTGTTGAGCAATGTAGATAGTGAGTAACACGTCGTTGACTTTTGTTATAACTTGAATTAGTTGATACTTTCTTATTCAATAATTTTTTATTAATTTTAATTATTATTTGAACTTAATTTTAAAGGACACCCTATATAAAATTTCTAGGTCTCCAGTGTATGAACCCAATTCATTTTTAATGTTTATTGTTTGTTGAGGGGCTTTGCGGGTGAGGGTGGAGGGAATTATTTTCTGAATCAAGTTTCTTGTCACGTTAGGTGACAAGAACACCTAATTCACGCATTTTTGTCATTTATTCACGCCATATTTTCGTTATTCACGCCATATTGACATTATTCACGTAAGAGTGTTGCTTATTCACGCAACCAATATTGTTTAGTCACGCAACCTGGTATCGATTCACTCATATTGTTATTTATTCACGTCATTGTAAAATTAAATTTTAGACGTTAAAATATATCAAAATGGATGTCATTGTGTTGATTATGATCAATGCAACATATTTTGACAGACTAATTGAGAATCCAAATTTAATTCCATAAAATATAGCCAATACAAATTATTAGGGGGGAAAAGTCTGAATTTTCATTTACGTGAATAACTTACACTCTTACGTGAATAAACATAGTATTACGTGAATACACACAAAATGGCGTGAATGAGTACAAAAATACGTGAATAAATTGACATTAGGTGTTTTGTCACCTAACGTGACAAGAGATGTTTTCCTTATTTTCTTGATTGACTAAACAGAGGGAGAAGAAGGGGTGAAAGTGAAAGTGGTCGCGGTTCGCCGGTGCTCTTGCCGAAACTCTCTTCTCCAGCCGATGCTCTCGTGCGTGCCACCTAGTCGTTCGTTGTCCATCTGCTCCAGCCGATGCGCTGGCCATCTCAATCACTTCCGCTGTTCGAGCTGCCCACTAGGAAGAACCGAGTGAAGCCGCCGTCGAATTTTGCCTGAATCGTATCGGTGGTTGGGGGAATTTAAGGGGACCCGGGGGAATGAAGGAAGTCCAGAATCTAATTAAAGGGGTCATTTTTGTTTTGTGAATAGAGTTTCAATTTTTAATTGGGTGTGTTAAAAATTTGATAAAATGAATTAAGGGTGTGTAAGGGGTATATGGATCATTTTCCTTCCCATTTAACAGCCGTTTAACGGAAAATTAAACAGAATGGTATATTTGTTACGTTTTAATATGAGAGGGGTATGTTTGTGCAAAATTAGTAAATGGGTATGTTAGTTAATTTGCGATAGTAGAAGGGTAGAAAATGCTATTAACCTTCGATACAACGTTTGGGTCCCAAATTGTGTTTGCCGAGTAAAACGACATGTTGCTTACATGAATGCACATTTTAAACTTTTCACAAATTCTAAAATGTTAGCCAAAATTTTGAGTTTGTGAAATTTGTTAAAAATGTTAGCGTTCTTATAAGCAGGAATGGGATAGGGTGATTACTTGTTTTTTAGTAATCACGGTGGCAACCTCCTTATATACCATTTAATTAATTATTTTTCATTCTTTTTTAATCTTACGGTCAAGATTCTTTTAGAATAATTTTGGAAATTAAAAAGTGACCACACCTGATTATTCTATATAATCTAGTCAAACCCTAGTTCTATCCTCCCTCCTCCGTCAGCCACCACCGCCTAGAACTTCTCTCCTCCTCGAGAAGCCTCCCTTTTCATCAAATCAGCCGACATGGGTACGCCAAAGACATCTAGGGAGCCTTGCCCGGACCGCATCCTCGACGACATCGGCGGCGCTTTCGGCGACTCCGCCTTCCACTTCATCAAAGGGGTTTACAACTCCTCCGCCGGGACTCGCCTCACCGGCGGAACCCAGTCCGTCTGGATAAACGCGCCTCGCGTCGGCGGCAGCTTCGCCATCTAGGGAGGCCTCTTCTCGACCTTCGATTGCACGATGGTCTATGTCCGCCAGAAGGAGGATCCGTGGAACTCGATATTCGCCGGCGCCGCCATCGGTTTCTCGCTATGCGGCAGGGGCTCAGTGCCTCGGCTCGCTCAGCCGCCTTCGGCGGGGTTCTTTTTGCTCTCATCGAAGGTGGTATTGGTTACTATGTTATGATAACAACATGATATTCATTCATCTTCGTTTGGTAGTGTGACACTTTAGATTGGTATTGGTTCATTACACGTGTATTAGTATTAGCAATGCTAGTCTGGTAGTTCTTCAAAGTCTAATGATATTGGTTCAAAGCTCAATGTTCATAATTCTCTTCATATATGCAATGATATAGATTGTTTATATTCGTAGTTTTCGTGTAATTGTATAGATTTATTTTTGCAATGGTATTGATTGTTTATGGTATAGATTGTTTATATTGGTAGTTTTCGTGTAATGGTATAGATTTATTTCTGCAATGGTAGTTTTCGTATAGTGGTTGTCTAATGGATTGGTACTGATTTCGTGTTTTTTTTTTTTTTTGCAGAAAGATTGAGAAAAATATGGAAAGGAGATATGGCTATAGATTACGGAAATGAGAGAAATAGAGAAAATTTTAATTAATAAATTTTTGTAACTACCTAAAATGTAATTTATTAAAAAATTCGTTAATATAATTTATTTTTTCATATCCAATTTACCCTTAGTAATCACCGTAACCACTCCCCAAAATGACGTTATTTTGGTTACTAAAATTGATTTCTTGTAAAAAAAAAATTGCCATAAAATTTGAAACTTGAATTCTCCCCTCCCCAACCCTCAATTTGCCATAGACATATTGTCGACAATTCCCATTGTGTTCCCATTCTCCAACGCGCTAGACCTCTGAGCCGATTAATGTGACCTTCGTGCCCAAGGCTAGAAATACGAGAGCCAATTAGATGGCCAAATATTGGATATTGTCTCTTCTTTGCTATAAAATGTTTTACTTGCAATTGGAGCAGTTGTTATCATAAAAAAAAAACTCTGCAAATGTGATTGATAGGGAATTAGTATTTTAGTACCGCCTTTAACTCAGTAATATTTTTGTTATTATAATCCAAATAATGGTAATTTTTAACAATTTCCTTTTAAATAATAAATTTTAACGGAATTCATTTCTGTTAGCTTGAACCTTCGAGAACTCTTAACCTCTACTGATACGTAGAGAAACATACCAGTCGAGCGAAACAATATTTACTACTACACTATACCTCTGGTCGTACCAAACAATATTTGCCTACCTTTCCCATCCCTCATCATGCATGCAGCCCATCGGGGAAAAAGACCCAATTTCCTGAAAACTCATATGTACCAATGAAGCTCTGTGATTGCACACTGACGTTATTTCTTCACATCCAAAAATGTACCGTGTGGAGTAAGCAAGGTTAGAAAGAGCTTTGGCTACGGTTCATACAGGGCACCCATCGAATCCAACGTCTTACTATCTATAATTGTTGGAAGAACGCATGATAATTGATAGTTACATGTACTCGGCAATTATAAATCTCAAAATACATAATTCAACGATATAAACACATTCTTAGACTATCCACAACCCTAGGGTTTAAAGGGCAAAATGTCTTTATAGCCGTAATAAATCATGTTCAATCATGGAACAAATTTGAGGACTAAAATGCTACAAGGGGTTTTAGGGGCTATTTTAGCTCTCTTTTGGGGAGGGAGGGTTTAAGAGGGGCTAAAATGGTGGAGATTATTTTAGTACTTAAATTGAATATACTTGTGTTGTTGTGAGTGCTTTTAACTAACGAAATTTTTTTTGTTGTAACTTTCAAATTTTCGATTGCTATTTGAAAATAAAAAAAATATATTTAAAATTTGGAACGTTCTTCCATTTCAACAAAAAAAAAAGTATCTCCGAAATTGCTCAAAATCTTGGTAATTTTTATGAATGAAGTTCATTTTGGCGTTCTCGAGCGGTCCTTGGCATCTGCGGAATGATATGTGTTACCTGAGGAAATGGGAGCCAGGTCTCCGAGCAGAGGAGCCTCGTCCGGTAATTCCGATTTGGGTACGTTTTCTGGACTTACCTCTTGAGCATGTGACTGGGCGGATCTTGACACGGCTAGCAAGTATGCTTGGACGACCTCTTTGGTTCGATAAGTCCAGTAGGCTTGGTAGAAGGTTGGGTTACCCAAGAGTTTGTGTGGAAATGGGGGTTGACTCAGCTTTCCCTGAGACTCTTCGACTTGTTCCAAACAAACGACCAGCTTACACTGTTAGCATTGAGTACTGCCACAAACCGGAGATGTGTGGGAAGTGTAAAAGGTTTGGGCATAACTGTGAGACAGTTGTTCAGGAGGATCCAGCTTCTCAGTTGGGGGTGGGGGAAAACTTGGAAGTGGTTCAGGTTGAGCATTCAATGGCAAGTACAGAAGCGGTTGTAGAGGGGCAAGTCATAGACCAGAGACTTGTGAATGATAGCTTGGAGTTGTGTCCTGTTGTGGGGAATATCCAGGCAGCTGTTGCAGGGGACAGAGCTGGGCCTTCTCCTGTGGCTGACCTGGGGAATCAGGAAGAGGGTGGCTTGCATACTGCAGTGGCGAACCTAGTGAATTCATTATCAACTTGGCAGGGCTATCTTCCATCAGATAGTGAGTTTCAACAGGCAGTGGGTACAAATAACTCTTTTGAGGTCCTTGCTCCCCAGATTCAGTTTGAGGTAGGGACACTGGCTGTGTCTCCCCTGAAGGATCCTGTGCAATTCCCAGAATTAGGGAAGGATGGACAGAAGAAGAAAAAAGGGAAACCAGGTCGGCCCCCAAAGGGGCAAAACCCGACTATTAAAGCATGAATGTCTTGGTATGGAACATGAGGGGCTTTAATAGCCCTGTAAAGCAGAAGAGTGTAGCAGAGTCAATTAGAAGATACAAGGTGGAGATATTTGCAATTCTGGAAACAAGGGTTAGCAAGGAAAAAGTTCAAAAAATAATCGCGCAGTTCTTTGAAGATTGGAATCATGTAGATACTTATTCCCATACTGGGGTAGGAAGGATTTGGGTATTGTGGAGGAAAGACCTAAAGTTTGTTGTTCAAGAAAGGACTGGTTTTTATGTGCATGGGATTTTGCAAGAACAAGAGCCAACACAGTTTACCTTCATCTATGGATCAAATGAAATCAGTGAAAGGCAGCAGGTATA